GAGGGACTAGGTAAAGCGGACTGACAGCTGTCTTGACAGGTTGTATTAAAGAAGCTTGAGAGGGAGGAAGGGATCTCCCCTTTCTTGAGAAAACTTCTTTCCTGACTTTGTTGACATTTCACAAGCTGCTCGTGCGGTCATATAGGAGTGTCGCAAATACCTCAATGAGATTCATCCAAGGTTTATCAAGATCCTCACTTCTCCCTTGTGGCTTTCTTTAAAGAGTGATCTTTGTAGACGTTCCATCCAATATCAAGCCTCTTTACACGTTCCAGTTGCCTCAGAGCAAATACTGGCTGGTTATAGGCAGGTGACAAACAAGTTACAAGATCTGCGGTTGTGAATTCTTCATATGCTTTGTTCATTGGAATATGAAGACAGGCTGCTGTCACTTGATGAGCCCGTCTTGTTTGGGTTATGTGGCTCATTGATAGGAAAGAATCTGTTACACCCACGGACGAGTGCTGATGCATTTGTCAGCACGTCTGTCCGCCCACTTCCAAGAATCCACTTGCCAAGAGCGCTAAAGGCAGCCATCTCAATGTCTAATCCTCCCAGCATCACCACCACGTGATCTTCATCATATGCACCACCAACTGCTTTTCCCAAATCAATCAAGGGCTGATCAACGGTAACAACAGGGACTTGGGAGGATCCAAGCGCTTGATGGCTGCACTGATGACAGTAATGGCATGGGCAATGACATCATTACTAATATGATCTCCGCTAATCAGCATTTCGCATCAACTTTTTCAATGCAGATATTCAAATTCCAGAGATGTAGTTGCAAGCTCTCCTTCTTTTTCCTGCCCCCACCGCCAGAGTGCCCCAGAGAGCTTGCTCACAGGCAACAGATACCAACTGAGCACTAGTGTTGGGAACCACAATATTTGTAGAGGGAAGAGTTAATGGAGGTACATCAGTGTAGTAGGATGGGTGTGCAGCAGTTTTCCTTGACACTAAGCTTCTAACAGGATTGAAAACATCAGTGCATCTCTCTGTTCCTGGTTTTGGATGCTGGACCAAGGAGACAATATTTGTAGAAAGAGTCCTTGAACTGGAGGTATTACATCAGTGTTGTAAACATAGGATGACACATTACTCTGACTAATAAAATAAATAAAATAAAGTGTCTTTATTGTTCAAAAGATAAAATTACATATCTTATGTTACATTTAAATATAACACTAAAGTATGTCTCTAAATAAGATTAGGATTACAAAAACGAATCTATTTGCAAATACATTCTGTTCCTATTGGTATTTTGGATGCTGGACCAAGGAGATTTATTCCTTAAGTTGTATCTTGTAATCTTAGTCTCAGGGAAATGAGTCCTGAGAGGGTGGTGAACTGGCACTTTAGTAATTCACCTATTCTAATTAGGACCAATGTTGTTGACTATAGTTGGCTGTTGATAAACAGATAAAGCATGTAATATTAGGTAGAAGTTGAATAAATGGTCACATTCTCTTGACATCCTTCTTTTTTGAGGCACCTGATGACATACCTTTTTCAATTTCAATGTTGGAAATTGTTAGGAGCCGGTAGAACAAAATGCTCATTCCAAGTTTGTAAAAGGTATCAATCAAAGACTTTTCCCTCTCATAGCTCCATGGATCTTAAGGGCTAAATATATTGGTAAGGGCATTCTCTGTTTCTTACATGGTGAGTGTGGTGAGTGGTACCAGGTGCATTGTCTGATTTGTCTCAAAATCGACTTTTGCTGTAAAAACTAACAATTGAGCAACAGAAAGGCACGCCTGGCTCTTCAATGGATCTCTTTTGATTGTAGGGTCTCTCGTTATCATATCTAGCAAAGTTGTAAGTGAGGCTGGAACTAAATTTGTCTGGCTGCCAGCTGTGAATGTTCCATTAAAAGAGTTTTTCACCTCCAGAATTTCTCTTCTTGCAGTCATTGTTGCTTTTGCTAGGCAAAATGCATCTGAGTGCCTGTTCTTAGCATCAGGTAAAACACTTCCAATTTCATGGCTGAGAACGATAAAAACCTCTCGTCCCTAGCTGATCATGTGCTGTAAGGTCTGGGAAAGGCTGATAATAATAACTTTTTAAATGATTGAGGATGTTGTTGAAAAATTTTCTCTGTGTTTTGTCTTTTCTCGTTGATGTCCTATGTAATTAAATGTAATTGAAAAATGCTTTATTAATAGCATCCAAGGTTCTACATTGAATTTCTTACTAACTTCTTAATAATAAAGGGTAAGGAATGCTTGGTTGGCAAATATCCCCCTACTGCGTAGATTTGCGGGTCGTATGCTCATTAAAAGCTACTTTCTAGATTATTAAAATGATAAAAAGATTACTGTGGTTTTAGTAGTCTAGTAGTCTTAATTATACCATGGCGTCTTCATCTTTGACATTCCACCACAGGCATCCTAAGCAAGAGTCATAAAATTGTTAAAAAAAAAGGTCACGAATGCAATTTAAGCATGTTTCTGACACAGAATTTCACATAAATAACTAATAGATTAGATTCAAGTTAATTTTTCTTCTCTTAAACCAATTATACCTTTAACATTCTACCACAGGTATCCCAGGCAAGAGTCATAAAATTGTGAAGAAAGGTCACGTGATTTCAAATGAAGTACTAACAAATTAGATTCAAGTTGATTTTTTCTCTCTGAGGGCGATTATACCATTGCATCTTCAACTTTAACATTCCACCAAAGGCATACCTAGAAAGAGTCATAATGTTTTGAAGAAAGGTCACTTGATCGCAAGTGAAGCATTTTTCTAACACAAAATATTACATAAGTAACCGATAGATTAAATTCAAGCAAATTTTTCTTCTCTGGGACTGGTTTTAAGGAAATTTTATTTTCAGCCTCGTTTCCATGTGGTCAATTTTAAGATATGAGCAGATCTCGAGTCCAAAGGTTTTAACCTAGCTTGGATCCATATCACAAATTTTGTGTTACATGGTTAGTAGTAATCATGCTAAGTTTCATGCTTTTGAAAATCATAATTTAACAGTAAATTATTTATATTAAGTTAATACTTTCTTTTTCACAGGTCAATGAAATTTCATGGAATAACACAAATGATTCCTTTTTTCTCACAAATGGTCATGGATGTATAAATATCTTGAGGTTAGAGAGAACAGCAAATTATCCTTTGAAACGTCATTATGGTGGAACCCAGTTAATATGGTCAACCATGGGCCAAAAAATTGTGGCCATAATAAAGAGTTGACCATATTAATGAGGGTTTCTTTACAAGAAAATGTATGGTCATTTTTGCCGGGCAGCCAAAAAAATTGGCTGTAATAACGAGGTGACTGTATTACCGAGGTAGCCTTAAGGTGGGCTTCCACCGTCTAAGAATTGATGTTTAACACTGCAAAACAACAAAAAACAAAATTTTTCCTAACTTTGTAAAAATTTGCTTGAATCATAATCATTTTAATTGAAAAGAAAGCTGCTAACTACTCACATGTTACAGCAAGTATTGTGGTTCCGCAAGTGAGATGTCTGATAATGTTCAACTTGGACAAAATTACAATCAATGAACATCAAGTCTGAGAAAACCATGAATCCGCCACTAGAATACAGTGTACTGTTATTTCCTTATAATTACAGTTCTTAGTACTGCTTAGCAATATGTGGCACCCCTCAGTACTTCTAATAAGAGTTTCTATTAACTTAATATAGGTTTGTTGAATAAACAGCATTTCTTGTAAAGAAGGATTTTTTACTTTGTAATGTTATTATTGCTGGTTGTAGTTACCCTGATTTAAAGCCACAACAGACTTTACATGCTCATCCGGCTAACTGCATATGTATCAAATTTGACCCAAAAGGCAGGTAAGCAAATTCACATTGACTTTATTGCATTATGAAGCTGATGAAGCCTTGTGTATTTTAAATTGTACTTCGTAAACACCACTGGAAAATTTTCATCAATGACTTGATCCTTTTTTTGGGAAAAGTGAAGTCTTTTTCTTGAGTAACTATCTATAAGTGACTATACAATTGCATATCTAATAAAAACACAAAATTGACAGATGCCTCCTTCAAGAAAAGAATCAGTTCATTTGATGTGCTCAAGTGTGCACTATTAAGCCTTTTAAAAAAAACAGAATTTACCTCAAGTAACAGATTGAAGCACTATTAACTCTTGTCATTTTTATCCCTTATTTTAATTTTCCAAAAAATTCTTCAACTATGAATTGTAACTGTCGGCACACTCAAGATCAGAGACCGTATTCAGGGATACTGTTATTTTGTCATAGGTTTTTCCATTCATGGGCCATCAATGGGCAATTTATTACTTAAAGGTGGATTACCACCCTTGCGTAATTTTTACGTGCATACACATACGTTTTCATATATAAAATAAAATAGGGGCAATATATGAAAGTTTGCAGGTAAACGTTGAAGTTGAGCAAGGCTCAAATTGTACATTTACACATGACCCTTCATATATTGCCTCTATTTTCTTTGATATGCATGTAAAATTTATTTGCATACATAAATTACTTAATTTATCTGCAGTACATCATCATCAAATGGATGATGAATATAATGGCCGACTTTCTCCTTCCCAAACAGTCATCCTTGCCAAGATCCAGGGATAGCTACCAGGGCTATATTGTACAGCAAACCAATCAATCACTTAGTGATTGTTTACATCACTGGTTTGATTGTTTTTGCTCTGTCTGCAGGTATTTTGCTACTGGTAGTGCAGATGCATTAGTGAGTCTGTGGGATCTTGATGAGTTGGTCTGTGTTAGAACATTTTCAAGATTAGAGTGAGTAAAGTCCAATACATTGTGTTAAAAGCTGACATACATTCACAGGAGAGTGCCCTTTAAGGATTAATGACTAAAACTTTTTATTATCTGTCATTACCATCTTTCATTGAACTTTTATTATCTTGGGTCACAATGTTAATTACTGTTTTTAATAGAAACAGTTGAACCTCCATTACTGAGTGGCCTCCTCCCCATAATGGCTTCTTCTCTACAATGACAACAACCAGTTTATTTGAAGCGACTGATGAAAAAGTCAGAAATGATCATGAAATTTGATCCATATGGTCCGATGATGATTAATCACGGCAATCGTGTTTTGATTGTGTTACATTTATACTGCTGCAGTAAACATACTTGTCTATGATACTACTAGTGTATGTTGCGAACCTTGTGCATTTTGTCACGTTAACATTTTTATTCAAAACATTATTCAAGTTTTTAGTGTAGTTTATCTCTATATATTATATATGACTGGACTGCCATTATGGAATATAGTAAGCATGAATGTAGCTTAATTAACATGTTGTACTCCCTAAAAAAATTTATCATATTACACCCCTAACTCTCCACAATGGCCACTTTCTTCTGTCCCCAAGGTGTGGAGAGGGTCGCCTGTAGTTGTTAGCCCAATAAAGATTTATCTCGCTTTAGTTATTATCTTCTTAATGTAACTACAGGTTGTACTTTTAGTGTTACTCATTATCATTCACAAACAAATTCTCCATACTAGAGGAAATATTCAATTATTGCAGCGTTACTGGTAGTTTGAAAAGTTCAACAAAGCTTTTGAGACCTATCCTATTGTTCCCTTTCTACTACACTTAAACCGCTCTACAACTGCCAGCTTGGCGGCAGAAGAAAGTGGCCATTGTAGAGAGGTTGAAACAAGAGTGAATGTATGGACTGTCTGTAAAGAAAAATGGCTGTCGTGGAAAGGTGGCCTTTGTAGAGAGGTGGCCGTTGTAGAGAGGTGACCATTGTAGTGAAGTGGCCATTGTAGAAAGATGGCCATTGTAGAGAGATGGCCATTGTAGAAAGGTGACCGTTGTAGAGAGGTGGCCATTGTAGAAAGGTGGCCATTGTAGAGAGGTGCCTGTTGTAGAGAGGTGGCCATTGTAGAAAGGTGGCCGTTGTAGAGAGGTGACCATTGTAGAAAGGTGGCCATTGTAGAGAGATGGCTGTTGTATAGAGGTGGCCATTGTAGAAAGGTGGCCGTTGTAGAGAGGTGGCCATTGTAGAGAGGTGGCCATTGTAGAGAGGTGGCCTTTGTAGAGAGGTGGCCGTTGTAGAAAGGTGACCGTTGTAGAGAGGTGGCCATTGTAGAGAGGTGGCTGTTGTATAGAGGTGGCCATTGTAGAAAGGTGGCTGTTGTAGAGAGGTGGCCATTGTAGAAAGGTGACTGTTGTAGAGATGCGGCCATTGTAGAAAGGTGGCTATTGTAGAGAGGTGCCTGTTGTAGAGAGGTGACCATTGTAGAAAGGTGGCCATTGTAGAGAGGTGGCTATTGTAGAAAGGTGGCCGTTGTAGAGAGGTGGCCTTTGTAGAGAGGAGGCCATTGTAGAAAGGTGACCGTTGTAGAGAGGTGGCCATTGTAGAGAGGTGGCAGTTGTAGAGAGGTGGCCGTTGTAGAGAGGTGGCCATTGTAGAGAGGTGGCTGTTGTATAAAGGTGGCCATTGTAGAGAGGTGGCCGTTGTAGAGAGGTGGCAATTGTAGAAAGGTGACCGTTGTAGAGAGGTGACCATTGTAGAAAGGTGGCCATTGTAGAGAGGTGGCTGTTGTATAGAGGTGGCCATTTTAGAAAGGTGGCCATTGTAGAGAGGTGGCTGTTGTATAGAGGTGGCCATTGTAGAGAGGTGGCCATTGTACAAAGGTGGCCATTGTAGAGAGGTGGCCTTTGTAGAGAGGTGGCAGTTGTAGAAAGGTGACCGTTGTAGAGAGGTGACCATTGTAGACATGTGGCCGTTGTAGAGAGGTGGCCTTTGTAGAGAGGTGGTCGTTGTAGAAAGGTGACCGTTGTAGAGAGGTGGCCATTGTAGAAAGGTGGCCGTTGTAGAGAGGTGGCCATTGTAGAGAGGTGGTCGTTGTAGAAAGGTGACCGTTGTAGAGAGGTGGCCATTGTAGAAAGGTGGCCGTTGTAGAGAGGTGTCCGTTGTAGAGAGGTGGTCATTGTAGAAAGGTGGCCATAGTAGAGAGGTGGCCATTGTAGAAAGGTGGCCATAGTAGAAAGGTGGCCATAGTAGAGAGGTGGCTGTTGTAGAGAGGTGGCCATTGTAGAGAGGTGGCCATTGTAGAGAGGTGGCCATTGTAGAGAGGTGGCCATTGTAGAGAGGTGGCCATTGTAGAAAGGTGGCCATTGTAGAGAGGTGGCCATTGTAGAGAGGTGGTCATTGTAGAGAGGTGGCCATTGTAGAGAGGTGGTCATTGTAGAGAGGTGGCCATTGTAGAAAGGTGGCCATTGTAGAAAGGTGACCGTTGTAGAGAGGTGGCCATTGTAGAAAGGTGGCCATTGTAGAAAGGTGACCGTTGTAGAGAGGTGGCCATTGTAGAAAGGTGGCCATTGTAGAAAGGTGGCCATTGTAGAGAGGTGGCCATTGTAGAAAGGTGGCCATTGTAGAGAGGTGGCCATTGTAGAAAGGTGGCCATTGTAGAGAGGTGGCCATTGTAGAGAGGTGGTCATTGTAGAGAGGTGGCCATTGTAGAGAGGTGGTCATTGTAGAGAGGTGGCCATTGTAGAAAGGTGGTCATTGTAGAGAGGTGGCCATTGTAGAAAGGTGGCCATTGTAGAGAGGTGGCCATTGTAGAGAGGTGGCCATTGTAGAGAGGTGGCCATTGTAGAAAGGTGGCCATTGTAGACAGGTGACCATTGTAGACATGTGGCCATTGTAGAAAGGTGGCTATTGTAGAGAGGTGGCCGTTGTAGAGAGGTGACTTTTAGTGGGGGTTTGACTATGTGTATATGCACTATAGTCTCTGTGTCAAATAATCAATATTGATTTTAAAGCTGTTATAAATGGGTGCAATACAATTTTTTGGGTATTTGACTGGCATTTTCTAAGGAATTATTTTAAAACTCAGTTACTTAGCAGCTTACTCAGTGTCACATTGTTCATGATCTGGCGTTTAAGGATCATGTTTATAGCTTGTGCGCTTCCTTCTTCCCCGGCTAAAACTAACAACATGCACTGCCATCAAATTCGTCCTTATTTACATGGCTATAGAAAAGTGCCGCATGGGACGTTCTGAGCATAAATACTAGAGAATTGAGAAGAGTAGATAAATTTATTATATTTTTATTATACAAATCAGCTGTGCCCACGTTTCAGGAACACATAAAGATATGTTAAATTTGTATGAAATCAGATATTCCATTTTTCTAATGACAATATTACTTTTCTTATACATAAGAGATCAGTTTAGTTCCAACGAACGTTTTCTTTTGTCTGGTTGCAGTTGGCCAGTTAGAACCTTGAGTTTCAGTCATGATGGCGAAATGTTAGCATCTGGTTCTGAGGATCTTATCATTGATATAGTACGTACATACTAGTATTGTGTACTCATTTCAGTTTTATCTTGTTGTTTTGATTGACTTTCGGTAAGTTGTTTGTTTGAATCATTTTTGAGGCAATGGTGGAGACTGGTGAGAGAATATGTGAGGTACAGTGTAATGCTCCAACATTTACAGTAGCATGGCATCCTCAGAAACCCCTTTTGGCATTCGCTTGTGATGATAAGGTACTCGATACACTAGTTCATTCATGGTAATTCATGTTTAGGAAGGTTAATCTGCATGAGCCGTAGCTGCCCATGTGTGGTCTCTTAATATTTATCACAGTTAACATACTTACATCTTTGTTTACCCTGTGTTAAAGCCACTCCTTGTATTAGGCTATCGTACAAATATTATCATACTTAATTTTGTGTTTGACATTACCTTTTTATTGAGTCATTGGTAGCTCTATTTTATACGTTTCATACAGTAAAAACCCGCACCACGTACAGTCTGTATAATAATAAAAACTACTCTCCAGTCTGCTAAATAACTATATGTATTTAAGCCTGGTGCCAAAAATGAGGCGTTCTTACGTTGTAGATGTCTGTGAAGTAAATTTACCTGTATAAATTAAGTCATAAATTATCACCTCATGTTTTGAATCCTCGTTTGGTGGTTGCTTGTAGCAAATAATAATAATAATAATAATTTATTATTTATAAGGCGCAAAATAGCATATATGATCTAATGCGCTCCAGTTAGCATGGTTATTATCATCCAGGTTGATAAGCTGTTGCCATGTTGTACGGCAGTTTTTTACTTCAGGAGTATTTGTTTTTAACCTGATATGAGGCCCAACGTTAGCAGCTTATTTTGATGTAGGTTGGGAGAGAAGTTATGATATTTTCTCGTCTATGCGGCCACTCACTTGACTGTTAATCTTTGTTTTTTGTCGTTTTCTTCTTTCAGGATAAGCACGATCGAGATGCTGGTACTGTTCGTCTGTTTGGATTACCAGCTAACTCTTCTTAACCGTTCCTGGTGCTGTATATTGTATAAAGTGTGCATGAAAAGGGCTCCTCTAATTGCTTGTTTAATAAAACTTTTACTATGTATGTTTGCCACATTGTTTTTCGTGATCCTTTGATCTAGCAAAATTTTCCGTAAAATGTCACCGTTTGTTTGAGCAAAAGTTATGATCACCAAGCAGAAACGTCTCGAGCAATTAACAAATTTTTCTCACCAGTTACACTGATAGTAAATGCACAGAGAGCACGATACCCTGCGGGACGAACAACAAGACCTGTCAAAGGGGCGGATGAACTCAGTTTCGAGCCAATTGCCATCGTGCAAATCGTTCCGCTGCCTTGCGGATATCTCTGGGAGGAGAAAAGGCTGAGGAGTAAACCCTAGCAAAACCCGGAGTAAAGCCCCTAAGGCGGTTTGATAGTGAACCAAATTACCTTCCGGCAACTCCTACAGCCTAGCTGGTGCCAATTGTATTGCTCCGCTGTCCTTGGACTACATCATTGAGGCCTAGAGGGGGATCCTGCAGGATTTCCATATACACCGCCCAGGGCTGCGCCCTGAAAAGTTCAATTCAGTGCCGCTGGTCACAGCGCCAGAACCAGCACGGAAGGTAGCTGTTGCGAGTTATAAGCCACGACCAATTGGCGTAGGTCTAGGCGCTACGGGTTGCCTTCGAAGGTGGGAGGATCATCGCGTGCCACTGGTCAGCAACCGCCGGCCCGCCTCAAGCTGGGCAGCCCCTAGCCAGTAAGGTACTGACCCGCCAGTCTGCCTTCTTTGATGGGTGCTTTGAACTCAGGGAAAAGTCCGACAAGCAGACTGTAAATCTTGCACCAGGTAAACATCAAACAATGAAGAAACGACCAATCTTGCAACTAGCAAGCTGAAATGTCAGGACCATGTGTCCCGTCCTTTCTACGCTAGGTTGATGACACCAGGACTTCAATTAAGCGGCAGCCTCAGAGAACAAGACTACTCGTTCTTTTGGCAAGGGGAGGATCCAGAGGAGCCAAGGTTGCACAGTGTCAAGATTTTCAGTGACAAATACGTTACTGTTCTCTGTAGAGCCACCATCCAATGGCACACCTCACACTCTCTGTCTTCGCCTCTCCACGTCTCAGGCCCAAACGCAGGGTTGGTTGCTCTGACAGAGATTCAGCCAGTAGTCTTTGGCGAGGCGGTGAGCGATCCCGTTGGGCATCATTCGTGGCCTTCCTGAGTGCAGCGAGTGTCTTATCAGAAGCCTCCCTGTTGTAGTCAAGCAGTGCTGCCCTCTTGGCGGCGATTGCTGGCTCGAGGTTTGCAATGCCAGCTGTAAACCAGTCTGGGTTCTGCCTCCCTCTCTTGCCAGAGGCGTCCATGGCCGAGTTGTAAATGGCGACACGGGTGAGGTGTCATCTTTCTTCAGCGCTTGTTGTGGGGCTGTCCCCGTGGGTCTCTTCAATGCAGTCGGTCACGCGTTCGCGCAGGTCTGCTATCTTAGCTGTATTGACGCGTGGGTGTTCCTTTAAGCTTAGAAGAGTGGATACTTTTGGGTTTAAGGCGTACCTTGCTGCCCACCAAAGAGTGGTGGGTGTCGCTGTCAGCGCTCTTGTAACTGTGAGTACCGAGGAAACAGTTGAGAAGGGGTTTCGAGTGATAACGAGATCCAGCTGGTGCTACTGGAGGGATCTGAGGTGGCGCCAGGATACTCTGTGGTTAGGCTTGGTTGAGAAGAAGGTGTTGGTTACGCAGAGATCATCATGTTAAGAGCATAGTTCCAACAGCCTCTCCCCATTCTATTTCAACTTGCCGAAGCCAAAGTGGCCGATGCTGCGGGACCAAGAGTCGTGGTCAGCTCTCACGCAGGCGTTAAAGTCCCGGAGCAAGAAAAGGTGTTCGGCGGCAGGAATCTCTCAGATGGTTGTCTCCAGCTCCTTGTAAAGGACCAGCAGCAGTAGCACCAACACGTCTCGGAAAGAGGGTCTTGGACAACACCATGTTGACCACCAGCACCAAGATGAAGGTGTACCAGGCCTGCGTTCTCAGTATGCTGCTCTACGGCACCGAGACCAGTGGAACTAGACCTACAGTGGAAAGACTATCCTTCGTTTCAAAGATGTTTGTAAACGAGATCTGAAGGCAGGCAATATCAACCTTGAAGGCTGGAAAGTTGTAGCTGCAGATCGAAGTTACTGGATGCTGGCTGTCAAGGCGTGCGCTCAGGCGTGTGAGGAGGGGACAGATTGAGCAGTGGGATGAAGAGAGAGAGCGCAGAGGACTGAGCGGCATCAGTACCAAGCACTGACAGTCAAGCATCTGTAAGAACTGCAACAGAGCCTGCCGATCTAGAATCGGACGGTACAGCTACAAGGGGCGCTGTAACTCAGCCCGACTAAATCATGGCGCCGATTCCATCGTCTCCTGAGACAGACGGATGCCAAGAAGAAAGCAATGTTAATAATATGCATGCTGAGCAATATTCATTGGGGGTTACAGGTGTAGGGTCTGTCTATCAAGTGTCCCCACACCCTCTCCCCTCTAGATGACGAGCTTTGTTGCCTTTATAGTAACTCTAGAACTGCAGTATGTAGTCCTTGATCCGGCCGGTTTTACTTTGTGATGTAATTTTCAGAAAGAAAATAAGGTTACAATATAAAAGAAACTTTCCGAGTGTTTATTGATCTGTTTGCCTTCTTAAGCTCGATTCGAGGTTTTCCTGGTGCTAGGAAAGGCTAGAAATCAGAACGTAGGTGAATTTTGTTCTGTAATTTTTGTCTTTTTTATGGCGCCTTCAATTACTTGGATATATCTTGAATTCACGCATATGCGATTAAGTGCTTGAAGAAAGCTATTTTTTTGTATACATGGTGTACAAGAAATGTGAGTTCTTTTGAATTGGAAAAAAAATTGGGTCAACAGGTTGAATTTTAAAACCAAAGTTTTAGATAATGTTCCAAAGTAAATTTTGTGTACTATAGCTAAGGCCTTGGTCCGGCCACCGGTCGATAACATAAACCACCCAAATTGTGATTGAAAAGGGAGAGCCTCAAAACGTTCAGTTTTCGTTTGGTTTAGTTCTTAGTAAATTAAGATCTATGAATTGAAGTGAGGATCTTTCAACTTTGAGTCACATTTTAAGTAAAGTTTTTCAGTGAGTGGAGTAAATCATAAAAACCGCATGCAGCGTTCAAGTTAAAGTTATTGCTCGAGACTTTCCCAGTAGCACTGCACTTTATTAATTGTATAAGCAATGATCAAGAAGGCCATAAAAAGGAATCTTATATCCGTCCGATTGGTTTAGCAAGGTCAAAAAAATTCAAGAAATAGGTTTTAACAAGCAAAACATTACTCTGCACGAACTGCACGTGCGTGATGACGCACGCTTTTTCGTCGGATTTCTTCGTAGTTGCTGCACGAAATTTCCTGACGGGAAGGGTTATTTTGACAAGCGACGACAGCACGACAAACTTTCGCACCGAATCGAAACCATTAATTCTTTATGAGACCAAACTATAGCTCTACACAGAAATCTCATTTTGGTTTCGAAGATAAAAATAAATGATGGCTGTAGAAAATGTACAGGAATTTAGATCAGTTTGTGTTTGGAACGTTTCTTTTTGCGCACAGTTTGGGTCAGTTTGCATGCCGGCTTACAAAGTGGCCAAAGTGGCCGGACCAGGGACCTTCAAACGGAGCGGTCATTTTCTATGATGCAGGATTTCGGCAAAGCTCAGAAGCTGTCGGTTTGTCACAAGTTAGTAAAATGTTACGGCAACTTACAGGACAAATTTCAGCTCACTACTCCTCTTCTAAGATAAGAAATACCGGTTATTTACGTCGTTTTCGTCCGGACCAAGGACCACATACTGTAATTTTACATACTAAAATATTACAAGTAATCAAAAATTAGTATTGAGGAATTTATATCACAAATTCAGTATATCTACATTCAAAATTTCCTGACCTTCGCTCTACCACTTGATCCATAACTCAGACAAGTACAAAATCTATTCACAAGTTTACAAAATCTGTGTCCATACGTTGTACGGTGGAGGGCGACTTGGCTGAAAAGTTCAGCTCTCTAAGATCAGAAGATTGCTAAGCCTTCTCCGTGAAAGCTTTGATTGATTGAGCGTGTCTTTGTTATGAATTACATACAGGGTGGTGCTAACTGAAAATTTGCTCTTAAATATTAGTATGGCTAGTCTAGTCTACAGGTAGTACGTGAGTTATAGATGGTAAAATAACCTTATTATACAGATCCAAGATCATAGAACTGGACAAAAAGCAACTTTGCTTCAGAAGAGATAACTTATTTGCAAAGACGTTTCTTTGAGATCTGATAGGTGCTTGGTCAATATGAGTTTGTCGTCTGCAGTAACCTCCAATAATCTATAGTGAGGCTGACCCAGTTGATAATGCTGACATTTAAGACCAAGCCTGGTAACGGCCCAGCAATGAATTTCTTGCTCTTGAGGATCATACCTGCGCACTTTTTCGGGTGAGGGATTAAAGAATTTTGTTTACGCCACGTAATTAAATCCGCGAGGGCCATGTTGAGCTCAACTATGACCTCGCCCACTGAAACACCAATGCAATAAATTGTTGTATCGTCCGCGTACATGAAAGCCGTTGCGGACTTGATAGCTGCTGGTAGGTCATTAGCGTATAGCGAGAAGAGTGTTGGACCCAGGACACTCCACTGGGGGATACCAGCTGTAACCTCTGCTTTATCCGAGGGAGTCCCATTTAGACATACAAACTACTCGGAGTAACCCCGCAAAACGTCTGTATGCCCTAAGACCATTAAAACGCGCAGGCGTCAACCCACATGACAACTTGAAAGGGTATATAAGTATGCGATTCAAGTCTGGCATAGCCTGCGAGCAAACTCTCCTTTCCTCTGCCCCTCGCGGCTTCGCCGCTCGCTCGCGCGTTCTCGCGAGACTCGTTTCACTCGCCCAAATAGGAGAGCTTGCTCGCAGGCTAGTCTGGCAGGACATGTCTGATAGCATAATAATATGTATTCAAGAGAGCACTCAAAATTTTATATCCTGAATGCACAGACTGTAATCAAGCCCTTTTAGAGGCAAACGTCTCATCTCTAGCAAATAGAAGGGTTTACCTGTGTCGTCAATTTGTCTCTGATATGGCTAGCAATCACAATAACCCAATATCATTCCTCATTCGCAAATCTGAAACAAGAACTGTCTCTTGTAATTTAAGATCTGGTAGTGAAAGAACTATAAACAAATTAAATAGCCAACGATCTTAAACATGATTACTAGTACAATTGTATACTCCTAACATAGTTATGTATTTTTCCACTGTATACATATCACTTGTTCATTCAGTATTTTTGAACTGCAAGAAAGTGAAATCAACTATTTTATTTATTTATTTAATTTATTTAAGGTAGTCCTGAAGCCATAGCAGTAAGTTTCCGGTTATCCCGAACAGCTGACAGGGGCACCCAACGACGGTTTCCTCCTGAATGCATTGAAAAAACTTTTTAGGCTATCCAGAGAACTTTTAGATCTCTAGAAATACATTCTAATCTGCGCTACAAAATTTATATCTGTTCAGTCATGCTAGTGCAACTTCAGTCGTCTCGAAATTAGCAGGGCTTCAGTATCATTTTCCAGAAAATTTTAGATGCAATTTAATCCTCTTTCCATCGAATTTTTCGAATCCGAAAATTTTAGGTTTCCTTTATTTCCGCAAAATAGCTGAATCTGGGGAGTGAAATGCGAAAAATTAAACTTCAGATAAACTAGGGAATTTTTTAGATAAGCTTTGAAAATTGAGCATGAACGAAACTGTAATCTAGAAATTTTTAGCCTTCTAAAGGAAAATTCCGAACAGACATTTTACAGAAAACTGTCGTTGGGTGTGACACCCTATCAAAACGCCTTTTGAAAGTCCACAAAGACTGCTCCAACAACACGATTAGCATCAAGAGCATGCCTCCAGGTCTCCGTTAGATGTATTAATAAGTCTTAATGATAGTTCAGTGGAGTAACCTTTGCGAAATGCACACTAGTGGTCGGTATCAAGGCACTCATTTTCTCTGAAGACGTGCGATACGACAGTGTCAGAGACGCACGACTCCAGGATCTTACTAGGTATACTCAGGAGAGACAGGCCGATAGTTTCCTTTCTCTAGCTCATCTTTCTTGAAAATCGGGCTGAGGCGTGTTAATTTCCATCGATTAAAAACTCTCACACAGGGGGCCGCACACTAATCAACTGTGCTAATCCTCCTCACTCCTAAGATAATTTTCATACCATACATAACAACTGAATCATAAGTGGTTAAGCCTATTAACCTGTAGGTCACAAGTGCCAATCTTACGTTTTTTTTTTTTTTTGTTCTAAATCTTTTTCCCGGAAGAATACCAACCGATATTTTCCTAGTTTTCTGTAGTAAAAAGTGAAATGTACCATTTGGGATCTGGCCCTATACAAAGTTACAACTGCTAGATTAACAGAGAAAGCGATGGTCAGGACCCGGGGGGGTACTCCTGGGAATTCTTGGTGGGGTTGTGCCGCCTGGTTCTTCAAATCCTTACCCGATTTCAGGCCGAAATAAGTCATTTCCCACAAGACCACTAAAATCCAATACCCGTTTTCAGACCTAGCCTTTAGGCAGAAACCATGTCTTTATTACTAAGATTAGAGCACAAACAAAAAATTCTTCAAATACATTTAGAATTCGTATATTTCTCTTTCTTTCTTACTCATTTGGAATTGAAACGATAAATACGTTCATACACTCCGTAGTTCCCTCGAAAACCATACCCGATTCCAGACCAAAATGGGCAAAATCTATACCCGTTTCAGACCAAAACGGCGCAAAATCCCTACCCGACGGGACGTCACATACCTATATGACTTATATGAAGGAGTACCCCCCCCCCCCCGCCGGGTCAGGAAATATCGAGCAAAATCTGGATCTTGTATTCGCCAATAATAGTGTTCAAGAAGCAATGCCACAAATTGCGGCCATGGTTGCTTTTCTTTATTTCTGTTGCAATAGCTTTGCAACTTCAGATAACTTTTCGTTCTATTTGTTGAGTAGACACAGCTCTTCGTTAACGAAGATCAGGAAAGAAACTTAAGCTTGATTTAGTCACGACAGTGTCTTGATTTCATGCGAATAAATGATCTTACTACGTTGAAATATGTCGACCGACCTTAGAACTTCTGTACAGTAGTACAAAACTGTAGAAGCCGCAGTTATGTTGCGGGCAATTTTGGTGCCATATCATTATTACTTCATTACAGAATGTACATTTGAATATTTCCGGAAATAGCATTTTAATGACATTTTCTTGCCCACTTTACTGCAAACACTATATTAAACTAGATAGCTAAACAACACTGAAACTCTACTGGTATTCTACAAACATTGTGATAGTTAAGCCGTGTTTGTTTGCTTGAATTTATTCCATGTAGCTAAAAGTGGTCGGATTTAGTAAACAAAGAACTTTGACAAGCGGATTATTAAAAGAAGGTCTATAATGCCTCTGACAGCAGTCATCACTGCACAGGCGCAGGCGGGCGTGTCGCATAACGCTTTTAAGTGGGCGTGATATTTAAACAAACTTTTGTTTTAAAACTCTGATGTTCGACTAATGATTTCCGTTTGTTAGTTCTACTCTTTCTCTTTTTAATCCGTAATAAATGGCTATTTACCTTTATGTTGTGATTTCAGGTCTTTTCGCATTTCATTTTCTACTTCACTGACGGCTCATTGACATTTGTCAGACATGAGTTAAAGGCAGGTTCAAGAGGGTTTCCATTTTGGCACTTTGGCACGCTTATTTAAAAATGAATTATTCACTCGCGGGGAACAAGTATTTCAGTCCACCAGTGTTTTTGCCCCTTTTTCGCGGCGTTGGACACGGCATCTGGTCACAATGAGGCGACGCAGCAGCTTAATGTTACGGACCGTGCTGACTTTGATTTTACTGCCGCTATTTTACAGTCTGTTAGCAGTATTAGAAACTGTACGACAAATCAACACAGACCATACACTCCTTGAATCACAAGTAAACAGCCATTTTAGCGGTCTTCCTAGGCTGTCTGGTCAAAGCTTGACCAACGCCAGACAAATCTTTCTTGATCGCACCGTATCACAATTCAACAAGCTGTACAAGGACCAAGACAGGCCGGCTGCCGTGAAGTTTTTCGGTTCACGATGGAGAACTCCAAAAACAAACATTAATAAGTACGAGTTAACTGACGCGAATGGCAGCAGACAGTACCTTGGATGCAGACACATAGAAGACATTCAAATTGTGGGGAAAATTGGACGTGGATATACTAAGACGGTCCACAAAGGATTATATAAGGGTATAGAAATTGCGGTAAAAAGCGTGCAGCTCGACAATGAGGATATCAAACACTGTGCAGTTCATAAGTCAAACAGATCAGTCGATGAATGTTTTATTTACGCCAAATATAAGCTAGCCAAAGAAATAATTATGCTTCAGCAACTGCAACATGCAAACATTATAAAGGTAAGCGGTTCATTTTCTATCGAAATAATTACTTTGAGTTCAGTTTTATCTGTCCTTAATTAATTGGATAATATCACCAGACAATCTTTCTGTTCTTATTTGCCATGATATATGGGCTTAGGGATTATAGCGCTCGTGAACTCAGCAGCGAACTTTATGAATTATTAAAGTACAAAACTATGTGTGTATGTACTCAGGAGCCGGTCACGAGTGATGCATCAGTTTTAGGGAATAAAGAGAGTGATGATTTGGTGAAGCGCGTTTAGACAGCAGCCAGTAATACCTTTAAATGGTTCATTTTACTCTTTCCGGCACCCTTTTAAAACGTTGAAAGGAAGCTGATACTAACTCATAACATCACTGAAAATGAATTTCTTCTACTGAAAAAAAGTATAGTTGAGGATTACGTTTAAAAAATTCCTCCCATGTTTTATAACTGCGGACCCTCTACAAGCTGAACCGAGCGCTGCATCAGATCTTACAGCTGACTGACCATGAGTTGAGAGCAGAACTGAACATTTCATTTCCGAAGACTCTCTAATCGGATAGTAATACTGCAAATAAAATCAGATCAAAAACAAGACGCAAAATCCAGGTGTTCCTTCTAGAGCATAGTAGCAGGAAAAACCTCTGTTGCTCCTGTTTCTCTCGGGTATATGTTCAGTATTTTACAAAGGAAAAACACCCTCTTCATATTTACCATTTTAATACAAACTATCCACGAAGGACCTGAGGTCTTTTCGAAGCCGCCGCCGCCTGCCTCAATTAAGCTAGGAAACTATACCTAAACTAACCCATTTCGAGCTAATCCATCCGGGAGCCGCAGTCATTCTATCCATTCAAAGTACCTTGCTAAGATATCGGTAAAATCTAATTGTAACTTTAAGGTCATTTTGATCAAAATATCACATTCTCAGTTACTTTGGGGGTGAGTTCCGGGTTTGTTTTGATTGTGTCGGTAGTTTCTTTCTTGTCTGACCTTTCTTGGAGACTCGTTGCTAACTTGGAAAGACTACGGCACAGTGGCAAGTACAGCATGGACAGTGTAACGGACGAGAGTTGTCTATTTTTGAAATCATATACACGCCACACAATGTTAAAATAAATATGATTCACTGGAGCAGCTACTCTATACTCAAACTTTATATTCTAAAACTGAAAAATTACGGTAGCCAAACAACGTAACTTAGTGTACGAGCGGTTGAAACTACTGACTACAAATGTTTGAAAGTTTGCCTTAGAGTTTAAACTACCGTGTACAAGCTAAAACATGTGGTAAACAACTTTGCTTTCTCATTGTTACACAGCTTCTCGGATTCTGTTGGCAAAATGAGCAAAACACCGCTGATTTTACTACCCGAGGGCTCACCTTGATGACAGAGATTGGAAAAAAAATTGATGTAATTGGACTGGTACAGCTACCTTGGCAGGAAAGGTTTAGGGTAAGGCAAACTACGCATGTGTCTTACCACCGCAGCCTTTGTGAGTTTACCGGGGAAAGCAGTAGCATGCAGGTGCCCGCTAAAAGCGAAGAGTCCGCCGCCAGCCGAGAGTTGACAATATCTAGCTTGAAGCCAATGTCCGTTTACAACATTTTCATTCCAAAAAATAAAAATTACTCCGAAACCTATTCCCACTGCAGATCGAGGAGGGTGTTATCGGCCGAGGTGGATAACGACCTCCGAGATCTGCAGAATTATTCATATCCTACGAAAGCCGAATTCAATAATTGTTTTATTATTCCTTCAAAATAATTCCAAGTTTAAAAACAAGCTAAAACATGCTAACCTCGGTCGATGTAAATTCATATCGATAATATAATGCAAATAGCAGATGTTGTCCGTCGAGTTCTCTTCTTGCTGTTGTTGCCATGTTTTTAGACAATATTTCGCCGTGAAACGAGTAAAATGTTCCGGGACAGTTCCACCATTTTGTTCTAACTGCCAAAACAACTCAGCCTCGTCCCTAGGTTTTCTCGGTCAATGGTTCAATAACCTGCAACCAGGCTGCACTTTTGACGTCATCTTGACGTCATCGGTTCAATATAACAAAATTTTTTCCAAATTTGGTCAGCAGGAGCTGGTTATGGTGAATTATGCGTGTAGTCTTAGCCAGCTGGAAACGGGGAAATATTTTGAATGAATGAAAGTCTGATGATCAATACAATATTGTTTTCTCTGTTACAGCTTTGTTTGGGTCTGGCCAGATTGTTGCAGTATTTGGCCCAGTCTCCCATCGGTTCTCTTTTTATAAGAGACTTCAAGCTGTCGCAGTTTGTACTTGTAGATGGAGAGATTAAATTGACAGATCTGGATGATGTAGACAACGAAGAACCGCGATGTCTAACAAATAGAGATTGTGTTGTCAGAAGAACTATTGGTGTGAATAAGACTTTGCAGTGTAATCAAGGACGATGCAAAAATCTGATTGCTGCCGTGAATTTAGACAATATCGGTCGTTATTTTTTTAACCACGTTCTTGTGCCGGGTTCTCCAGAGTATTTAAAAGAGTACTTGAATGAAATCAAATACAACGTCCAGCAACTGACTTGGAACAGTGAAGCTCTTGTTTGGCATATGGAAAGAGTGCTTTACCTTTTACGTTCTGGAAAACACCTAGGTAAATTTTTACTTCAATTTTGGGAGGCTCCTGCGGTAGTAGAATTTATTTATCAATTTATGCCGTTATTGTGGTCCATACGGGATATTTCAAGATATATTAATCTACAGTTATAGGAACTTTCCCAGAGCAGGCAAGTACCTTATCTTTTTCTTGTGACGGCTTACCTTCGTTAAGTCCCATCTAAAAGCCTGGAGCAGCTTAGTCAGTGGGCTGGGTAAGTAGAAGATAAGAAAAGGAACTGGGGAAGAGCTTCTTTCTCCGTGTTCGGCTCCAGATCGCTCCGCACAACATCCCGCGGGACTGCTAACAGTCTGTCTTTCCAATTGAGTATCCGTCTGCTCACTTGTTTTCTTTTCTTGTTTTAGAAAATGTCCCACGGTTTAATCTATACAAACTGGCTCCTAAGGCGGACTTTCCCAACTTACACGACTACTATTGTCCAGGGACGCGTCTGTTTGAAGCCTGTGAACTAGCGGTGTATGACGTCAGAGAGGCACAATACAAGTGTGATTTGGAAGACTCTTGTAAAGCTTTTGTTATGACAGAAAAAACACTATGGACTGGTAAGTGCACCCGACACTTTTAACTAAAGCAATATACATAATCGCGGTTTTCGGGTTATAATAGGGACTTTAAGATCCAACGACCCGACGGCAACGAGAACGTCGCTTAAAAAGGAAATTTGCGTTCTTTCAGTCTTTATAGCGATTATTCCTACCCACTTACTTTGTCAAATGTAGGCGAACCCTCCTGAAGCTGAATTTCAAATGACCATATCCAAGCTAAGAAAGGACAATACAATTTCGTCGTTGCTTGTTTACGTCTTCCATAAAACGGGAAATAAAGTATTTTCACGTTGTAGTCGTGCAAAAACGGGAAAAAGTGTACAAAAAAGTGTGATGCACGTGCAAAGTTGTTGTTTTGCTTATTAAATCTATTGCTTTTTTTTTGACGTTCTCGTTGCCGTCCGCGTCTTTGGGCCTTAAAGGCGATGCTACACGAGACGATTCGCAACTGCGATTTTTAGCGCAACATAGCGTTGCAATATTGTTGCGACATTGTTTCGAATGACTACAACACTGTTCCAGCATTGCAACGCTGTGTTGCGCTAATCGTCGTTGCGAATCGTCCCGTGTAACATCACGTTAAAGTCGCTAATATTCGTTCGAAACTGCAGCATCATTTTTTAGTGAAAGGAGCGTCTTGCGCTAACTTAAGATTTAAAAAATACTAAAAGAACTAATATAAGTTTGTGATAGGGTTGGGGTAGAGGTAGTGGGGAGGGAGAAAATAGGACTGTCCGCTATCTATTGTTTATTCGGAAAATACTCCACCGGGTGCGAAAAAGGAGTCTGTGTTTGGAGCGCTTTTAACCTATTCCGACCCCTCCCTGCCCATGAGAGATTTGTCTATTAAGTAAATAGTTTACAGTTTCGCTTGTTCCGTTTCGCAAGTCCGGCCAAGCCTTTGATGCTAGCAGCAATCTTCATATCATCTGATATGGGTTAAAACAGGCGTTTAGCATTTGATTGTAACACTCCCTGAAGAAGTCTAAGGCTACTAAACATTTGACACGTCAGAGAATAAGCAAGAGAGGGCTGCTCACTACACAGGCGGCCCAAACTCATTACATGAACGCGGATGTGACTCTTGCTTCCGAGCGGTGTTGTGTTACAAGCGGTTATTTACAAAGGCTTGTATGGGATCGATCGGTTTTTCTTAAAAGAGATAAAGAATGTTATTTTTTTAAAATAAAATCGACGTACCTTATTGCCTTGTTGCATTCTTTGTTGTTTGCCCGCGTCTCAGGCCGTTTTGAAGCGTTTTCGGCGAGTTAGCGCTATTTTGGTGTCCCACTGCTTTCTTTTAGCAGTAGGACACCAAGCAAGCCGGCCGCCCGCCCTACAGTTAACCCTACAGACACTAACTTACAGACTGGAGTTAAAGGATAGCCCAGAGTTCTCTAAGTTGATTGATCTCTTTCGCGGTTACTGCATGTACAACATAACAATATGACTTTCGTTGTTTTTCTTGTTTTGTCAGGCTACCTCATCGTGTACTTGAAAAATAACACATCGGGTATGCAACCCAATAATCATACTTCGGTCTACATCAAGCAACTCACATGATACTCACCTGCTGCTGATCAGGTCACCACTGGACGTTTAGGGTCTGTTTATTTCCTAAGTGCGTTCATGGATGACATACTTCTGGTGGAAAGAATCCAAACCAGTGAATCTTGCACGCTTTTAAGGAAACCCGGAGCAACAGATTGACGTAGATTACATACCACCCAAGAATCTCTCTAAAATATAAGCTAGACGTCTACGATGACTGGGCACTTCAATAAGGGCTTAAAGGGAAAACAGGAGTCCAGTACAGGCCCTAGTTTCACATTGCGCATAAACTTAAGTAAAAAAAACTTCCTGGAACAAAATTTAGAGGAAGACGATCGAAGAAAATCTCAAGCCGGGGGGGGGGGGGGAGAACATTTTGCCTTTCGCGACATGTCCTGTAATTACAGTGCCCAGTTCGTCAACGGGTCGCATAGCAAGTTGCATTTCTACAACAGGAAATCTGTGATTGGTCGTCATGATTTGGGGATACTTGACTCTCAAGTCAACATAAAACTGCGAAAAAAAAAACAGGATGTGTGAAATAATCTTAGCTTGCGATCAAATATGTGACATTTTTTAGAAAAGCACTCTATCGAAGACCGGCCGCTTTCTTTACCTTAAAGTTTATTGCCGAATTCGTGTGAAATAATATTTCTTTTACCGCTAGATGAGTTGTCTCAAAGAGTTCGCAAAACATGGATTTAAAGTTGCGTTACTCCACCAATAACAAGCGTTTCTTTCCTCTCTCCTTATGATTTAGTCTTTCCCTCCATAAAATTTCTGCTTCTTCAGCGCTTGATTGCCTTCAAAAATATTGCATAGCTTTTGAAGTTGTCCTTTGCGAACAAGCAGTTAGTAACGAAAGCGGTGTCCTCCAACTCACCGGTACCACCTTTTCAGACACCGGATCGCCGTACCAATTGACTATTCCTGTTCAAATTCTTACAGTCTCCCCGCCGCGTCTCGCCGTTCTCGCGTGGGGTGATTTTCACGCGCACTCGCGTTTCGCTCGCTCTACTATCCCTGAGGGAAAATGAGGGACTACTCAAAGTCTATCAAACTCCCCACTCTTGGCAATTCCTTTCGCGCGCGTAAACTGCCCCACTCCCAAGGCATAAGTAATGGTCAAACGCCCAGGGTTAGCCCGAGGGAGGATGTTAAACTGAGTTTGATCGACGCCTTCGACGAACGGCAAAGAAGACCGGCAAGCCACATGCGTTGGCTGTCCTTTTTGACCTTTCATCTCGTCCATTCTATATGATAACTTTAATTCTTGAGTATTTCGATCAACCTTTAATTCCAGATAATTTAACAAATAAGCCGGTTGTACCTGATTTGGGTGGTGCCGGCGTAAATTGAGTCGGAAGACGGAGTGAAAGGAGAAAGATTGATGTAGTCAGTGAGAAGCACTGGGAACGATATCCTTTGAAACTTTTACGGTAGACAATTTTTGACAAAAACAGGCTTTATTCGTAAATTCAACAAAGAATCGAATACTTCTAAAAGGCCATTCCCGTCCTTCTCTTTTATATAAGATCCCATTCTAGGAAAATGAAGAAGGATTTCCTACTTCTCACAATTCTATACTGTAAATAAAGCACTTGGTATTATATCACAGAATGTTACATGCGTATTATCCCAAAGCTTTACTAAAATTTTCTAATTGGTAAAATATGAGCCTCCGTATTAAATACAAACTTATCAAGGGGAACCATATCCACCTCACTAAATAGTAAGAATAAATATTTGAGTGTCTCGCCGAGAAAGAAACTTTCCATTTTGTCTCTAAAGCCCAACCTTGTGTCTTTGACATTGTTTAAAGATGAGTAACCTCCAGTAGGCACCTTGGCGTGTTTTTCTATTGCTTGAAATATATTCCAGCCATAATCCTGGTATTTCTTGTCTCCAGTCAAACGATAAACAATAAATAAAGACTCAACAGTCTCAGGCCTCAACAAGCAGTGAGCATCCAGCGGCTGAAAAAATATTCAAACACATCAGAGATCAGTCATTATCAATAACATGTCTCTTAAATACAGGGTGTCACCATTTCATTTGATAATGTTTAGTTTCACGAACCTGAGCTGAGCCACAACATGCTAAACCTCATGCAGAAAGAGAGATCAATGCGTATTACTTTGATTGTTGTTCAAAGATGTGTTGTCATACAGTGAAACGATAGGTTTGTGAGCTATATAAGAACTTATTTACTGTTCCCCATAGTTGCACCGTTAGTCACTCCACGTTACTTGGCAGCATCGTGCACTGAATCACAACACTTACCCTGACTGTGATGTCATCATGTTACTTAGCGACACACTGTATCACAACACTTACCCTGACTGTGATGTCATCATGTTACTTAGCAACACACTGTATCACAACACTAACCTTGACTGTGATGTCATCATGTTACTTAGCAACACACTGAATCACAACACTTACCCTAACTGTGATATCATCATGTGAGGATGGGCCTTCATTAAAGTAAACTAATTCAGCACTGAGTCCTGTAGGCATTTTCTGGTACATTTGAACGCAAGTCTCCAATAAATCTTTTGCAAACTGCTCATATTTCGCATCCAGACCATTGTGAACTGCTAACATCAAAGTTCCAGGCAAAAAACACACCAAATGGTCCTTAATGTACAAAGAACATAGCTAATTCAGTTTAATAAAAAATAAATAATAAATTAACTTTTACCTACTGTAAACTTAACTTTAATGTTACTTTTACAATCAGCTTACAAGTACTGTACAGAAGCAAAAGGATGTTCTAACTTAACAAAATTTCAAATAATAAACATGATGTAAACTAAAATGATAATAATTTGTTTGTTATGGCACTCTAACACTGTAACAAACCAATGCTTAAAAAATCAGTTCCAAGTTGAGTGTCTAGTTTTAAAATGAAAATTTAAAAGTTAAAAATTAAAAGTTTGTAAGAATAATCTAAAGAAAATGAAAACATACAAACCAAGCATGAAAAAATAGTTGTATACTCAACCTTCTCTTTTATCTTATTATTTATTTATTCATTTTACCATTTTAGGACTAAAGGTCTGGCCATGAAGAAGTTCACCAATATACACAAGCTTGTTTGGATGGGATTCTCTCTTTAGAAGTGACATAACACCATCCATAGCCTCTACAAAATCATCTCTAAGCCTACAAAAAACAATTTCATCTTGTGAACTGTGACAAGATTACAGTGGAAGATAATAAAATGCAGCAAATCTTAGTAATTTAGCCTTTTTAAAAGAACCAATATGATTATTTAAGGTGCATGTGATGGACCTTATCCTGGAATAAGAACATGCTCTGGCTTTTTCCAGAAAATCCTTTATCAAAACAACCTTGAATACTGTCGGATACAAAGTTCAGAATTGATGTTTTGAATTTGGTGTCAACAATCAAAATTCCTGCAGATCCAAGAATGGTGAGTTTTTTTTCTGTAAAAGAAATTCTAGAAGATTTGACAGAGAGTTGCTTTCTCATTTCCTTGTGTAAGGAAATATATTACACTAAAGAGTTCTTTCTCTGCTTTAGTACAGTGCTGTAAACCTTTTAAAGCAGAGTGCCTCTACTGTTCACTTGCCACATGTATTGTTGGTATTTTGCTGCTTTGAAAACTAACCACAAGGCAGGAGAAATCATTAAACGTATATCCATTTTCTTTGAATATATTCCCATTACTTCAGAATTTAAACAGTAAGCCAGTCCCATGGAACTCTGCATTACTTTGTATATTACTATTCCATAAACAGAATCACGACTTTGGAATGGTGTTCAAAAAAAGAACTCACTTAGATACAGTGTACCTTCAAGCCCTTATTATCATAACCAAGAGGTGGGGGGGGGGGGGGGGGGGTTGGGATTGAACTGGTACCTGCTGCAAACCCTTCAGCCCCTGTGCTGAAGCCAATATTATGGTTGGGACAGGACATTACACCAAAGGCCCCCCTCAGTGTAGCAACGCATGTAACTCGGGCTGCCCAATGTGTTTGTCACCCTTGGCCTCGTCAAAAGTTTCTTTGCCTTTACTTTGCTCCTTTGTGCACTATAACAATGACCAGTGTCTGCAGACTTACCAATCCACTCGTTTTCCACTCTGTAACCACTGTTTTAACAGATACTCATAGTAACTATCACCTCGAGCACCAAGGGTGATAGTTGAACCAGAGCGAAACTGTCCAGTGTCTGCATTAACAAAAATTGGTACTAAACCAGCTCTTTTGGGAAGGCTGTGGAGGTGGCTCGTGACTGTATCTACAGCTTCCTGTTGAAAGCATCAAATAAGCAAGTCAAAAAAACAATCAAACACATGGAAGTTGCCAGAAATACACAAATCTCATAAGAATTTCCAGTACCTTGTACTTTGAGTCACCAGTTGTATAAGTAAGATCCCTGAACTCCAGTTGGATTGTAGAGACCTCTGAAACTGAGCTATCAGGTCCCCAACGCGGTGCATGTGCACCATGAGTCAGCAGATTAACATCTGAATATGGAATGTTAGATCTTGAATCAAAGGCTGGCAAAAGACGTTCACCCAAATCAATCTGAGAAGCAAACAGTTTTATTCAGGGCTGATAATTGTGACAGATTTTTTGCTGGACACCATAATTAATATGTAATAACGATGATAATAAGCGGAGTGTGCACATCACTGCTCCGTGCAAATATTATTGTACTACACTTGCAAGCAAATATAAATTTGCTAATATATTGGTTTTCTGAATTGGCACAAGACAATCATCCATAACATTGTCCAAAATGAAAAATTATGTAATGCAATTAAGTTCAAACGATATTGTAGTGGATAAATTTCTTAACCAGTTTAAAAAAACAAAAAATAAAATTTGAACCAAATGTTAAATAATATTGATCTACAAGAATTTAAGTTTTGGCCCAGAAATCTCTTTTCCATGAAATTTTATTTATCAATGAGACTAACCGGAGACCTTCCTGAAAACCATCAGATTTGAGAGCTCTGTAATCATTATACAGTAAGTACAGTAAAAGGCTACAAGTAAGAATATGTGTTAGCTAACGTTGGCTAGTTATGCCCCCTCTATACAAGAACCTGTTGAGCCTAAAATTTGAAACAGGTTTTTACTTTTAAAATCTATGAAAACATTTTGTACAATTGGACAAATAAGATTTGAAAAGAGTTGTTTAATGCTATTATTGACATTTAAGAGTCAAACTACCTGTAACTGTTACAGCTGAGTGTAATAAATTGGGCAAGGCTTTACAATACATTTATGTTATGTTCTTCTTCAGAAAATAAAAACCTATGTAAGAACCTAAACAGCCTAAATTTGTGCTAATTAACATTTATGCAAGAACCTGTTCAACAGGCTAACTTGGGAAAATGCAGGTTCTTACTTGCTAGTTTTTACTGTATTCATGATTTCAATCTTAATGTTCCTTTAAACAAATCACAAATATAGGTATAGCGGGTGACCCTATTCGGTGGAATGGCGGATTGACCGAACAGAATGACAGAACGGAATGGCAGAATACACGTAATACTCTAAAAGGCGAAATATATGGAATATACTAAAACATGGAATTTACACAATATTCTAAAACAAATCACAGAATATACGGAATATTCTAAAACCCAGAATAAGAGAAAAATCTTTTAAAAAGGATATACATATATGTATACAGTCCACTCCCAAAACTCCAACCCTCGCTACTGACTCAAACCTCATGCTCACTCAAAGTAATACTAATTTTTGTTTCTCTTCAGATCATTTCTTTTCTATATAATTTTACCCTCAATAACTTGAACCATGTATTAAGGGCATGACAAGTAAAAAAAAAAACAGACTTACGGTAATTATTTGATTTAGCATCTGGGGAGCTTATTTACTTTTGGGTGCCTCAAGGGAGGGTTCTTATTCAGGACAGGGCACTTATTTCTTTTGTGAGAAACAACCGAATGTGCCGATGGAACTTTCCTTCCTTATATTCACCTTTCTTAAAAAAGCCCACAATGAGAACAAAGTGCAAGTCAAAATGACGGGATCAAGGAGACTGGAAAACGGACTTGTTGTCCCTGGATCCTTCCTCGCCAGAATGACCAGCCGAGCAATCACCACAAAATTTGAAGAAGAGATTATTCATTTGAAGAATTTATGCACTCACATGGACATAAGACCACTGTTTTTGTAATCTTGCATTACCGTTTGTTTGCGAGCAATTAAAGGAAGATGAACCTTGGTTGCTATGCACATGTACTCTAATATAAGAATTAGCACAAATCAAGTAATAATATCGTAGTGAAGTTCTACCTTCATTAAAACTTACCGCTTTTTTCAGAAACAAATCATCTTTTGACAAGTGGTATGCACTCAAAAGCCCTCCCAGTACACGAATAGTTGTCTCAAACAGATTAACATCAACATTTTTTTCAAATGTTAGACTGTTAGCAACCCAATCACGTGCCTGCTGAAACTCCTCTCGCAGGTTCATTAAAAGCATGGTATCCAAAGAATCAATGATTGTGAGTCCAACACCAAACCATTCACCATATGATTTTGAAACTGGACGCAATTCATCATGACCCCATGCATATGTTTTATAACCATCCCAAGCATATCTAAAAGCTTCAACAACTTCCTTTTGACGATCATTTTGTTTTTCTAAAGGAAGAATATTCACTCCATTAATGTTCAATGCGACAGACTGATCTGCTTGAGGCTGAGGCTTGACCTCACCATCACCAGCAGTATCTCCTCCATTTTCCCCGGGTCTATCTTCAACATTCACCACTGTATCTCCATAAATCTCCTCTGCTGTTCTTTCTTCCTTTTCCACTTTGCTTTTATGATCATTATCATTTACTTTTCTCTCAACGTTCTTTCCATCATGACTTATTTTGGCTATAGTTGGTTTTGATTGAATTCTATCCTTTAATTTTGGAGGCCCTTTCTTTACAAAACCATGTTGTTTTCTAAGCTCTTCCAGTTCTTTTAAGCGACTGTCAATGATATCCTGCTTATTGACCCTATTAAATTTAAGTAAATGTTCATTAGAAAGCATGTGTTCTTTATGATCCATAGCTGAATCCCAACCATTGGAACTGTAACCATGTGAAATAAGTCCTTTCCGCCAGATCACTATTGTTACACAACCAAGAACACAAAACAAGATGAGCAATGACCTTTGAAATGACGACAAGGCTCTCCATTTCTGCAATGAAATTAAACATGAAGAATTATCACAAGAGTACACTAGGTTTTAGTAAAATCCAACTAGTGGTCTATTATCAATGCTGCTTTCTGATTGGTTGAGCTACTACTAGGCTATATGTTATAGCCCACTGGTTGTGAACAGCGCCGGCTTTTTGGCGGCAAAAAAGGATTAAAGTCTAGCTTTAACTAGCTAAAATCTTTTTATTCTCGATATTTTTGACCAGCAAGTTGGATGTTACTAAAACAATTATTTTTTTTCGCCCTCATGGCCTCTGAGTCAATAGCCCATTCGGCTGACTCAGAGCCCATTCGGGCTCGAGGAATAATTGTTAAATATATCCATTGGTGCGGTACATGTAGTAAGCTTAAAATACTGAAAGTTAAGGTTTACATCATTTTTGCCTGCTTTTCTAAACTGAACTTGATATAATACCACGTTGTGACAAGGGAACCAAATTAATGAATAAATAACCACCGGAAAATAAGGCTTACATGATTGTAGCACTTGAAATCAACCTTTCGTATTTGGGATGAGGGATATTTCAATACATGCTGTTGTCGATTGTCGGCAACAAGACTATTAGTTAAGAAATTACCAAGATAAAGACAAACACAAAATACATGTTCAAACGACCGCCATCATAACAGTACCATAATCATAACAGCTGGTTTATTTACCCTGTAAATGGACGTATGTCTCCGACTCTTGCTGTTGTGATCATCTTTGTCGGCTTTCCATGGCATAGAAACAGAGATAAAATCCCGCGATCCTTTATACGGCGAAAAACTCATATCTCCGTGGTAATCAATAAGCGAAACACGCAACAGCTCGCAACATCTAGCAAAAATCTGTGGCCAAAAGATTCATCGTTGATTCGATTCCAATATTATATCGCCAACAACAATAACTAATGCCGCTCTTCTCTGCCATTTTAGCATAAAATTAGCACTTAGTACCCAGGCTTAGACTTACGGGGTAACACAACGAGCTCAAATTTCTTCACGAGCGCGAAGCGCGGGCGGTTGGTTTTTTTGTTTTCTGCGACCAACTACCGGAACCGGAAATGAGAAGCGAAGTACTTTGAGAAAGTCTACACGAACACATGCACAGTGAGTACCGACAGCTATGCCATGCTGATGAGCCCCAAGCCAAGCCCCGAAATCGCCTGTGAACAGGCTCTCTGTAAGGGAAAGGCTAAAAAAATCGCTAGGAGGGCAAGAGGAAGAGTCTAGACAAACCTTTAGGACCGCCGTTCCACGCCACCCACTGTGCATATATAAGATTCTGATACAAGAATGGCGGGAACACTGACTGTTAACGAAGGGAGTTTATTTAGCCGCATTGAAGATCTCAAATAAAATCTTCTGGGATCAGAGGGCAAATCACACCGACTAGAAACAATAAGCGCATAAAATAAATCAATATGCGTGTCACGACAAAAATCACAGTTGTTAAGTTAAAACTAAACCAGTTCAGTTAAAACTAAACGCCAGAGAAAAAATTCATTGGAAAATCGGCATTTTGGCACGAGGTAAAAGTCGTGTGTTGCCCAACGTACCGACCCCGTTTTTACACTTTCAAATGTATCCACGAGACAGATAACGATCTTGCTGACAGGTGATCGGCAATTACATCAAGAGGGGGAATAGCGGCCTCAAATGTTTGTCTACAGGCTTTCCCCTTTTCCCTTCACTCTCCTCGCGATTTTTTTACCCTTTCCCCAAACAGAGAGCCTGTTCGCAGGCAAAGCCCCAACAGCTGCCAGGCGATATGGTTTTTGTGCATGCGTAAGGTACTGCCCATAACCTACTCTTAGTACACTAACTAAGGTTTGCCACAAGTTGCTCGGCAACTTTTTGGCAACTTCAACGCATTTCGAGCAACTTTTCTCGTTTCGAGCAACTTTTTACATTCTAAGCAATTTCTCTAGTTATCTTCTAAATCTGAGATATCGGAGCAGCTTTTAGCGCTTAAATTGACCTTTGCTCCATAATTCACAATGTAGACAAATTCCCTGTAAAAAAAGGAGCCAAATACTCCTCCCTGGTTCAGATCATGGGCGCCAGACAAAAGTAGGCGGGCTGCTAGGTCAGCGGTTTTTAGACAAAATTCAAAATTCACTCTCGAGTGACTTGAGTGTCTCGGGTGAAGAGGGTCGTTCAGCAATTTTATTGACTCATTACACTTTTTGGTAGCCTGTGAACGGCAGACGTTTCTCCTCGTTCATCGCCGTTGAGGGACGTTTCGCGAGGAGAAACGTCGTTTCTCCTCGCGAAACGCCCCTCAGCGGCGATGAGCGAGGAGAAACGTCTGCCGTTCGCAGACTAATTTTTTGGTTGAGGATAAAGTTATTTAGCAACGCTAGTTGCGCCGCAAAATTGCACAAAAATGCTTAGAAATGTTACTTTTGTTGTACAATTTGCATATTTTAGCATCAAAAAGCTACTTTTGGTTGTTTTTTTTTAGCAACGTTTTGAGAAATTACGAGATACTTTTTGGAAAATCTCGAGCAACTTGTGGAAAGCCCTAACACTAACACGGTGATAAATGCTACGGTAATTAAAATCGAAATGTTTGATGGATCGTGGTCATGGTGATGTTTATCCTGAACATTTTGTGGGGCTAACTCTTTACGAGGCTAATTCACTATGAACCTATGAAGCACTGGCCTCTGTAAACACTTTTGGCAAGGAAACTGGACACAAACGTATGTTGACTTGTACTAAGTAGCGGCCTGTTTACATGGAGATGGGGGACCCTAGATAGGTGAGGTAACATATGGCGGGTCACCCCACCAGTCATGTAAACGTTATCCACGGCGGATCATTTAAGTGGAAATTGAAGTGAACAACACAGTAAACAAGACTGTTATGGAATTGAATTCAACTATTTTATTCACAATTGCTTAGATACAAGTAGGCATGGAAACGATGAGGAGCGACTGAGGAGAGACGGCTGTATTCAAAGGCAAAAAAACCCGTGACAACGCTCAACGTGAAATGACCAGTCATAACAGCATAAACTCAAGGAACAAACTCTTATTATTCAGCAACGTGTTCGGTGACCAAAGGTCCTTGAGATGTAACAGTCAATCATAAAAAAACTTATTTTAAATTAAAGTTCATTGAAGTTTCGGAAGACGATTTGAGATCTAGAATTTTCGGAACATTTGTTGTAAAATTTCTTGCTTGCCTGCCTCTCCTAGGATTTTCGAACATCTACAAAGTGGTATAATTACCCATTTTTAACGGATTTTGACCCTAAAAAAGGCCACCTAGAATTTTCGGGAGCCTTTTCCTGGCTGAAATTTTCGAGAAGGTAAGTTTTTATCCCTATAATTTTCGGATCACTAGACTTTCAGCTAGGAAATCCGAACAGATGAAAAGTTTTCAGGGGATAAATATATGCCTATATCTACCGTTTAAATACCAAAATGCGTTCAACAATGCTATGTTCAGTGGTTTTGAACTATAACCTCGTTGGGTGCCCCTGAAGTGTTAGACACCAAAAAAAAAGGTAACATGCTTGAAAAACATAAAATATGAAACAACTGAAGTGTAGATACTTTTCGGTGATAAACATAAGGAAGTATGAACGCATTTCAGGAAAGAAAAAAGACTTCAACTTGACGTTTCGTTCGTTCCAACATACATCTTCAGAAGTAATAAACCGTTGAATAACAACAGAAATTTAAAAGTAGAATAAGTAACTAATAAAGAAACAAAAGATAACATATGGTAGGAACATTTGCATATAAAAGAAAAAACATGCAGACTAAAAAAGGTAAAGTTTTTTTTTCCCTGCTGACAATTTTCATTTACGGAAGGTTATAAATCCCTATTCAGCAGAGTCTCAAGCTACTGTGAGTTCGTGTTACATACCATGGTGGAAATCACATGAAGTTTAATTTACTAAAGCAGTAAAGCACTAGCTAGCACTTATTGCCGAGTTTTGTTATTCCCGAAGCCACATCAAATTTAGAATATTCATTTCATAACTCAAGTTATAATCAATACGGCACATTCATCGGAAACTTTGAGGTCAGTTTAATAGTCACAGAAAACAACTCTACAAAAATGAATATCAACCATAACAAAATAGCCTGTTCACAGACCCTCTATTTTCTCTTCAAAGTCCATCGAGCGCGCGAGATTAAAAATAAACCGCGGGGAATTTATTGATCGCCAGCGCAAGGGGGTAGGGGTGGCTCTCGCTTGCTCGCCTCGCTCGCGCGCTCCTTTTTCGAAAGCTGTTTTCCGAAAGAACGAAAAGAAAGATAAAACAGCGTCTGGGTACAGGCTAATAACAAAAGAAGAGAAGGTTCTACCGAACAATCAGCGGTAACGGGCGCCTGGATAAATTCTATTAGTTAGATGATCACTTGTATCTGTCGTCTTTTAAAGACTTAACTAATATTAGAACTACGCTTGTAAAAGCTGGAACTGATTAAGACTTTCTAAATCAGTGGAAGCAGTGAATCTTTATGAAGTCATATCCCTTACCATTTTATTTCTTACTAAAACTACAGTAGTCCTATTAAAAACGCTGTTTTACTTGTATGTCACACAGGTCACACGTGTTTTCCTTTTTAACATTTTAAATATTTTCTTTTTTAACATTTTAAATATTTTTTTATTTTTTTTTAGACTTGATGATTACGCCACTCTGTTGAAAAAAATACTAGCGGCCTTATTTATTTGGCGCGCGAAGCGCGCTGCGGAGCACCATGGGTAAGAAAATGTGGTAATCTTTTTTAACAAATTAAACAGATTCTATGTACTGGCCACTGTCAGTTGTAATTGTAAATAATACGGAAATGTGTATCCGTTTTTTAAAGTTTAAGCTTAGATTTTGTCTGTCTGTTTGGAATATAGAGCCAGAGAAAGTCTCAACGATAAAAACGGCAACAGAGATCTAGACGAGAGATAAAAACAAAGGAGTCATTTTTTTGTTGGAAGAACAACATGAAAAGGGCGGTGACAAAATGAGAAATTTTAGTGAAAATGAGCGGCGTCACGCGAACTCCATAAAAAAGGAAGCGTTTGGTCGTGCAAAACAACGGCAAAGAATGTACAAAAAAGTGTGCTGCACGTGCAAGGACTTTTTTGTTAATTAGACCTATTGTTGTTTTTTTCTCCGTTCTCTGGCGTTGAGGGCTACATTTTTATTTTGTTTGAACAAACATATTAGGACGTTGAAATATAAGTGATTGTTGTTGTAGATGTTAAAATAAATCTAGTAAGCTTTGAATTCTGAGTAACAGGGGAAACAAATACAACTTTCACATTACTTCATGGATTCTACACAAAACGCCCAGAATGCTTGTAAATTGTGAACGCGTAAATTGAGGAACTCCACTTTGCACTCCAAACAAACTCTTTTTTCTAAAACAAAGGGATGATGTTACCCAATCCTAGATCATCACTAACAATTATTTTTCCATTGCTCGAGTAATAGCCATACTGTATATGTAGTTCATGTAGCTACCGACTTTAATATAAGGCTATCAATCTACCAAATACACGACTCCTTATAAGAATCTGTTCCGCAGAAAAATTTCATAAGCAAGCTAGGCAGTTAATAAGTTATTAATGGGGTTTAATAACTTATTATGCAGTTTCAAATATTCTCTTTCCGTCCGATGAAGGTTGAAGCCTGGTAACTCCTTCGGTAAGACCTGCATTTGTAACCCTGAAATGGAGATAACGAAAAGATGAACAAGTCAAACACGCTGAAATGACGACAGATGGTGTACTGGAATGGTCATTAAGATACTTACACTTCTTCCATTTCCATTTCATCATCACTGTCACCTTGAGGCACATGAAGGTAGGGATTATCTGGAGCAGGTCGGAATTTATATCTGCAGAACCAAGAAACTCTATTACAAAAGCCCACCGGCGCTAAACACATACTGCACTGACGCACTTCAGGCACTCGTTTTCTTTCTTTCCGCGCGCGTATTAGACTGAACTCGGCTCTCATAGTGGGTTGTCTTAGAGTTTTTTTTTTGGCAACCTTGAGCAAAGTTTTCTGGGAAGGCATCATTAAGCCTTATGAAGGACCAATTCTCAAGTCTGGCAAAGTCTGCTGCGTCGAATATCTTCTCATATTTCGTCTCATTTCGGGCTATATGTTACCCTGGGTGCCAGAGACTTTTCTAGCGCGGTTTCCGGTTTCTGTCAAGAGATGTGTCGGCCTTCGGCCAACACAGAAAATTCCCGCCGCACGCGAGAAAAGTACCCAGGGTAGCTATATGTGTGAAAGACTGACCCCAGGCTTGAGACGGAAAGACTGGATATTGCAAGCTTTGTTGTTTGCAGTAACAAGTCTTTGGCCTCACAAAGTAGGTTCCAGGGGTGAAATCTATTCGGCGAGATGGAAATTAATGCTGATTTCTGACCAGGCCAAAGACGTATTTAAAAATTGTTTTGAAGGCGGGGGCTCCATGTCGCCTTTTCAACCTATGGTTTACATCCGGGATCTGGAATAAATCGACTGTGTGAGTCGAGAAAAGTTCCATGTGATGATTTATGTGGGGAAAGCGAGACTTTTACGGAGTAATTTGACGATGTTTCGCCCTTGTTAAGCGTGGAAGTATTACGAGTGGTTTGCGGAAGTGTTCTGAATGCCGGCAAAGTCATTTATTGTGTGATTTACCGAATGTGTTGACAGGTATGTGGTTGGGCTCGTGTTACCAGAAAACTTTCTGCCAAGCATAAAAACGCTTCGTGAGGGTTTAGTGTAGGTAGGTGATTTTGCCTTAGAAAGCCGATTCTGTGCTCAAAGATTGTGGATTTTACATCTAGTGTTTTCAGCATAGACTTAGCTATGGGCCTCATGGTTTGACTGACTAACAAGCTATACTTTCCCGACGTTTCAAACTCGTTGTTAATTTCATCGCAAAATCCCGTTACTTCTGCGAGGAAAATTTACCGTTTGTTGCCAGCAATAAAGTTGTCATTGTTAAGCCTCCGCTAGTGACTTTTAACTGCTTTTTATTCGACTTAGATGCCAAATTGTTAAAATGCACTTGAAATTTCTTTAGCCACGAGTTAGCAAATCCAGACAAGCGTTTTTATGCTTGACACAAAGTTTTCTCAACCATATAACTGTCAACAACCTCGGTAATCACACAATAAATTTCGCGGAAATCACAACACTTTCGAAAACCACTCATAATATTGCCACATTTAACACGGGCGAAACATCGTCAAATTACTCCGACCGAAAACCTCTCGCTTTCTCCACATAAATCGTCACATGAAACTTTTCTCGACTCAAACAGTCGATTTATTCAAGATCCCGGATGTAAACCAGAGGTTGAAAAGGAGACATGGAGTCCCCCGCCTTCAAAACAATTTTTAACTAAGTGTTTGGCCTGGTCAGAAATCAACATCAATCTCCCCGAATGGATTTCACCCTTAGAGCCTTCTTTGTGAGTCCAAAGACTTGTTACTGTCAACAACGAAGCTTGCAATATCCAATCTTTCTGTCTCAAGCCCGGGATCAGTCTTTCACCTGTGTAGCCCGAAATGAGACGAAATACAAGAAGATATTGGACGCAGCAGACTTTGCAGACGCGAGAATTGGTCCTTCATAAGGCTGAATGATGCCTTCCGGAAAACTTTGCTCAAGGCAGCCAAAAAGAGAGAATAGATCATTTGCACGATGACGTCATTTTACTACTACGACCAGAAGCCTTCAGGGTTTTAGGGTTTTTGTTTTTTAAACCTCGCTGGGATTTATCAAATTTAAACATGAAAGGAAAACGAAAAGGATTCTGGTCGTAGTAGTAAAATGACGCCATCGTGCAAAAGGCCTATTATGGGAAGCTATGAAAAACTTTTTTGGGGGCGGGGGTAGATTGATGGCCAGTGAGAAACTCATCAAAATCTATGTACTGCAGCCTATTCAGTAAATATTCGGTAGAAATTAAATAAATAAAAGTAACCATGAAGAAAAAAACATGCTCCACTACAAGAATCTGTCAGTATATACCGTAGAGAGATTTCTGTAGCCATGTTTTTGCAAATCCAGTCAGATGTACAGTCTCTATTTTTTTTGGAGGGGGGGGAATCCAGAAACAGATTATGAGGCCACAATAATCTACCTTTTGGCTGGATTCTGCGGGTCAAAATCCCAAATCAGATTTATCATATTCAACACTTCACTTGAACGTCTCTTTTCAGCTTTTTGGAAAAAAGGGGTGGGGAAGGCATTAAAAAAAAAACAGTCTATGCGACAAAGCATTATTCCACGTAAAATCGTATAAATAACAATTACCGCACTGCTAACCTTCTAAAGGTTCGTTTACACATATGATTTGTTGCGCTATGTTACTGCGTCTTATGTAGCGATTTCGTGGCGATTTTATGAAGATTTCCAATTTTTATGTAACAGTTACTGCAACATTTTCCTCTGATGTAAATGCTCATTTAAAGAGGTAGTCTCCTTTGCACCTCAGGAGCAGAAATCAGAGAAATCAAATGGCAAAGAAATTCGAGCAAGTTCAAATTAACTATGATTTAGCAGCAAAAAATTATCGCCATAAAATCGATGGTAGTTACACGCGTGACTGCAAGTCGTACCTAACTCACAGAAAAAATAAACACGCGACAAATTGCTTATGTCAGAAAACATGCCTTAACTGAACCGTGTTGGTGGCGCCATTTGTCAGTCTATTGTTTGTTGGGAGCTCGACAAAGACATCGCAGTTCAACACCTTAACCTAGACGAGATGAATTACATGGACAGCGACAAGAACCTACAAAGTTATAAATTGTCTCTTACCCAGTGAGAACAAAAAAGACGTAGGATGCTGCATTACTGAAGAACTGAAATCAGACAACAAAACAATGATCTTCACTTTCAAAATAATGATGGTAATAAACTCAGTACAAGAAAAGACAAACCGCAAAAACTTACATCATCCAACCACATAAACTGGAATGGTACTGTTATCTAAAATACAAGAGACATGTTAAACATGTTTGCTTTCCTTCTACTTTCTGTGGAAAGGACAAATGAGCGAACATCTCATTTCATTGGTTAATTTCTCCTTCTACTACACTCGTAATACCACTATGCGCCTTACGTTTGCGGGATGTAATACAAATATAGAATTTGTTATATTTACATGGTAAAGTCACTTTCCACTCAACCTACATATTGATTTACTACAGATCAAACTGAGGGCCAAGAAGAACCATAAAACAAGAACGGTATATCTGTGACAGATCAAAACTAAATAGGTGGTTTCCATGCAGTCTCGGCAGACACAACTAACAATGGTGAAATGAACAAATGCTGGTGGACAAACAAAACGAGCTAATGAGCGATCTTTTGTTTACTGTCCACCAGCATGGCGGCGATGACGTCACGTGAAAACCACCTATTCAGGTAAAATTTTTTTAGCCTAGAATCAACCTGAATTTAATTTGACCTCTAACATATCCGCGCAACACGGGCGGGAAAAAGCTTTTACTCCGAAACCCGGGAGACACCTTTGCTTGCGCCTCGTTTTAGAAATAAGGGACTTTAAGATCCAACGACGCGGACGACAACGAGAACGTCAAAAAAACAATTGGTTTAATCAGCAAAACAACAACTTCGCACGTGGATCACACTTTTTTGTACATTTCTTTCCCGTTCTTGCACGACTACGACGTGAAAATGCCTAATTTCGCGTTTTATGGAGGACGTAAACAAGCAACGACGAAATTTTATTTCTCTTTCTGGGCTTGACTTTGGTCCCTTGAAATTCAGCTTCAGGAGGGTTCGCCTACAGTTGATAAAGTAAGTGGGTAGGAATAATCGCTATAAAGACTGAAAGAACGCAAATTCACTTTTGAAGCGACGTTCTTGTCGCCGTCGCGTCGTTGGATCTTTAAGTCCCTATAAACTTCAAGCGACGGACGGCAACCGTAAGTGGACTTGTTACACTTTTCGGGCGGAAGTCGTCTCTACGAGAGTAAAGACAGCAGCAATACAAAGGTGGCATATTAGAACGAAAAGGGTCTCACCTTCGCTTAGGGTGTTTCGATAATTATAGTTTTTCAGAGGCCATACCGATATTTTTCAATTGCTTTAAAAGTGATTTTATCCTTGTCCTATCGCTTCACCAATGATTGACTATAGATCGAAATTTGTCAAAATGTAGGTTTTAGTATAATCGATATTACTATGACAACAATCAACAAAAAACTTTGAAATTGATAAACGCCTAATTTTGGGCGATCTAGACCACCTACTGAAAATCCAACACCAGGAACTTAAAGTTTGATGTGTAGCAAATAACCTCCGTGAGAAAAAAAAATTCTGTACGTTTGAATTTGACTAAAACGAAAATATATTTCAAACCTTAAATTTCAATAGCCGTGATAGATTATTTAATAAAAACGTTATAAGGGACTCAATTATTCTTAAGTAGCGTCAGAATGCTGCTTAATATCATATTTCGGTGCTAGGAAATTTTGGTGTATTTTCGTTCTTGCGATCTTAAAAACTATCCCGTTTTCTCACAACCTGTCTAAGTGCAACTTCATTCAAAATTTGGACTTTTAGCGCCTTTTTGTATCTCTGAAACGACTCGAACGAATTTTTTTAAAAATCTCTTCACATAATCTTCATAATGTATATAATAATGTTTGAAACATTCATTAAGATTGATTCACTGCAACACCTTGAAATTTCAAAACAAACCTATCCTACGAACCGGTCAAAAATCCGCGCTACAACATTCAATGTTTTAACGTTATGCTAATTCTTCTCAATTAATGCGGACAATACATATATCCATGACTAGTACATTTCAGTGTGAGTATTGGTAATGTTTTACATTCAAAAGATGCGATAAATTCAAACTAAAATGTACCTATACCTAACCCTGAATCCTATAAAGTCTATATAAGGGACTACCCCTGCCCGGGGCGAAAAACGCGCCGCAGATTATGAGTCTCGCTGCTACGCAAGCGAGACTAATTAACTTTACGCATGTTAAATGCCTCATTATAATCCGGCCAAATGAACCTGATGGCGTGCCGGACAGCAGTGCAGGCTGGTACATTACCCACCTTTACTAAGTAGACAATTATCCGTGTGAAGTAGATATAACATACAATCTACAAGGAAATAACAGTATGGAAATCAAAGTTGCACGAATTGTATCTTCAAAGAACCAATTCATGGTAGTTTTGAGAAGTGGTTTTTATTCCGACTGTTCGTTCGGTAAAAACATTGCTGCGAATGTTCCACGAACAATACTAGATCTTTTACAGGAGCGGATCCAGGATTTTTTTTAGGAGGGGGTGCACTCGTCTCTTGCTCTACTTCAACACCATTAAACCACATAGTTTTTTTTTTTTGCAGAATACCAATTGTATTAGAAAACCGCAGGTCATCTCAGGGGAGGGTGCGCACCCCCTGCACCCTCCCCCTAGATCCGCCCCTGTTTTAGAACACAAGAGTACGTTTTTGTCCATACGGCCTTAAATCAAAACATGATCCTACACTGCACAGAAACAAACTACCGGGTGTCCCGGTGATTCAAAGCATGTCAGGCAAGCATGGTTTATATAAGTTAAACAGGCATCGTCACTCAGTCATTAATTCATTTATTTACTTACATACTTACTAACAGATATAGAAAATATGAGAAAAAACTTGTCCAGTTTTGTTTGACCTACCATCACATAGAAATGTCTAAAGAGTTTCAGTTTGGCTAAATTGAGAGCCGCTGCAAAAATAATTGTAAGTAGATTAGCAAGTTATAAAGTAATATCCTGCAGCATACGAGAATGAGCGCGATAATACCAACCGAGAATTAAGAGGCAGTACAATACAATACAATACAATATTCTTTATTTAATGAAGGTAACGTAATAACCCAATGAGTTATCTAACTTACGGCCTTCACAACAATAAAAAAATACACATATAAAATCAATGCCTAATCAGTAATATACGACTACAACAGTACTCAGTTGACTCTAAAACTTCTGTAAGAACGAAGCCGGTTGAACTACAGTACCAGGGCGGATAAATGTTAAGCGGTGAAACGAGCGCTCCGCTCTTCATTTAATGTGTGATGCGGAGTAGGACTGGCACGAGCCCTCTTTCCGCGCTTCTAGTGCGCTTGAAGACCGGCGAAATTTTCCTTTTTGCAAACCGGAAATCCTATTTTCTTTCTGCAATTTCAGGCCACAATGTTAAATAGATAAATTAGTTTCATAACAATATCAATAAACAGTTTCATATGTTTGTGTCTGTATGCCTATAAGTCAAACTTGTTGGTCGTATAATGCCAAAATTTGAGTTTAATTTGAAAGTGTTGAATACCTCCTCCTTCCACTAAATATCACCTAATCGTCTTTCGCCGTTTGGTTTGCAAAAGCTTAACACTTCTTAACCTCAATTTTGACATATGTTAAAGAGGGATAAATTTTATATAACATAACAAAAAAATTAGATTGATATATTTTGATATAGTGGCGTTGTACTGCTTCAAACTTTGCTTCTAGGGTACAACGCGCCATGGGGATTGGCGCAATGCGTCGCAAATCCGGCAACCGCATGTAAACAATATTTATTGAGGTTAGTTGTAAAGTTTTTTCTCCCTTTTTCTCTCTAAAACAAAACAAGATAAACAGTAAAAACTGAGGGGAAACTAATTTTGAAGTTTCGAGGAAACAGAAAGACGTATGAGACGTTTTTTTCAAAATTAAAAAGAAGGATGATGGTGATTGAAATTAGCATAATTTCACCTTGCACGAGCTGCACGCATTTATAAAATACACGTCATCTAGTTTTGAAACACACGATCTGCTGTCTTTTAATTTTTCCATGGATGACATTTTCCTTCGTGTTTTAGACAGTACTTAGTTGTTTTTGTTTTGGAATAACAGCGACATTGGCGAGTTAGGAGTAGCAGAACGAAAATATAATTCAGTGGTAGAGTCATGGAAGTAATCAGAGAAACCCTTTGAAAGAGATGTTTGTCTACTCCAACTAAAACTCCCGCAAAAAATAGCAACATTTGCCTCTCGGAGACAGCGTACCAGCACAAAGTAACGAAGAAGAAGTGCAATAAAACAAATCAAGCCGCCATAATTCAGTGACAGCGGCAGTCTAATGGACAAGCCACATCGCAAACCCTGACCGATGTCGAAAACAAGCGACATTTCTAAGTAGAGTCCAAGTCCACTGCATCACACCTTTTTGCTCGGACGCGCTCGTTTCACCGCCCAACCTTCATCGGGCTGGGCCCTGACCGTACTGATCAGTCCTCAAGGAAGAAAATACTTTTCCCAAGTGTGGTGTTACCATTCAAAGTGATTCCCTTCAAAAGTATTTTTTACATGTAACAGTTTGAAACTAGTTGTTTTTCACCATTGTTAAAATGAAATTTGGAATTGTTGTTGAATTTGATTTTGGCCATGAGTTCAATTGTCTCTAAAAAGACCATAATACATAAAAAAATTATTCAAATTCACAAGATTCAATTTTGATAAAAACAGGCCAGCAAAGTTCTACTACAATGTAGTATTTATAATTACCTTTTCCATCGGTTTGTGAGCCTTCTTGTAAGTGCCGTATTGACCTGAATTCAAACACAAAAAAGACCGTCATATAATAGTCTACTTTTTGTTTCTGGTTTTTACCGTCATAATATTAACCCGCTTCAAGTCAAGTCTTACATACCACACAACAGGAAACAGAATAGCACCACAGCACAGAAGATCTACTAAGATGAATAGCTCTTTGTGAGTATAGTTAAGGAATCAACATGTTGGTACTTTTCAATCCTGGGAGTACTCCCATGAAATCTTGGCAGGGGTGTGCCGTCTGGTACTCTAAATCCTGACCCTAATTCAGACCCAAAAATGTCATTTTCCACACCCGTTTTCAGACTTGGCCTAAAAAATCCAGGCCCGTTTTCAGACCTGAAATTACTTTGGTTGAGGCGCCAACAAAAAGATTTCTTAAAATCCATTTCGAATTCGCATATTATCTTTCTTCCTTATTCATTTGGAATTGAAACAACAGATAGTTCCATACGCTCCCATAGTCATACCCGATTCCAGACCAAATAGACAAAGTCTATACTCGTTTTCAGACCGAAACGGCGCAAAAACCCTACCCGCTGGGGCGGCACATACCTCAGTATATGGCTTATATAAGGGAGTATCACCCCGGTTTTCACTATAAATAATCAATACAACGAAAACGAATGTTCAGCGTGATTTGTGTAATACTTTGTTATTGATTATTGACCGAGTTGTGTTGGTCTTCATGCATCAAGCCATGCCGGATTATTGAGCGTCGGGACTATTCAGTAGCATAACACCTGACACCTAAGCGGGTTGCTTGTTATTGGCATATCCATCACGTGGTTGGCGCTGCGGTGTGCGCGTTGTGCTGCTACCGATAAGTTGATGTCTTGACTGATCGTATAGCCTGCGTAGCAGGCGCTTGGAAGTAGTGGGCGAAAGAGAGAGCGCCGGTGCGTACGAGAGAGACACGCGAGGGGTGACTCTCCTCGCGCGCCCGTTTTTTCTAGTGCCCACTACCTCCAAGCGCCTGCTACGCAGGCTACTGATCGTAGGGATCCACGCTTTCACAGTTTCATTGTCTTTATTGATGTTATTATGTGAAGTATTATGTAAATAGCTCAGGGATACCCAACGACTGTTTTCTGTGAATTATGTGTTCGGAGAAGCAAATATTGCCTAGAATTTTCCGTTACTTGAGGACGGCTAGAAATTTCTAGATGACCGTTCCATTCAGGCACAATTTTCGAAGCGTGTCCTCTACGATTTTCTACAGTTTAATTTCTCACATTTTACTTCCATTGTTAGGGCAATTTTCGTAGAAAAAAGAAACCTGAAATTTTCGGATTCAAAAATATGATGGGGAGAGGAAAAAGAAAAATTATCACTTTCGTAAAACGTTAAATTGCAGCTAAAATTTTCGGGGAAATAATAGAGAAGCCCTTGTAATTTCGAAAAGACTAAAGTTCCCCTAGTATGACCGAACAAATACAAATTTTATAGCACCACTTAAAATGCATTTCTATACATCTGAAAGTACTTTGGATAACCTGAAAAGTGTTTTTAATGTATTTAGGGGGAAACCATCGTTGGGTGCCACTGATAGAGTAAAGCATGGTTCTCCGTCAATAAACTTAACCTCATACCAAAGCCGATAATGCCCCTTTTTAATGGTGAGATCGTAAAAGTCATATCTGATCCCCGTCATGCTAAAGTATACAGCTTCCCGTTTCGCCAATGTCAATGCTGAATGTATACTAGCCAATAATATGTTAAGGTTCTCGTGAAGGGAAAAGAACACTGGGGACAGTTTTGAGTCTAGCTGCCATTAATCATTTATAAAAGGATATCCAAGTTGTGTATTGTGTGTTAGCTTCCTCTGTTGACTCCATCACAATCTGTGCTGTGTTTGCTAAAATCTACAGAAAAAGTGACAAAAGGAATGTGAATAGTTGAAATAAAATGAGTTCATTGACGGTGCTGAATAAACAATGAAATTGTACCTGAAGAGGTATGACGATCATAAAAATTTTTTTATCTCTGTCAGATAGAACGTGCTTGATAAAGAAGAACCCAGTACCAATCAGAACGATGGTGGCAAATAAAAGCGCTCCTTTTAACCTAAAAAGGAAAGTCAAACGGTAACATTAACAAAATCGAAATGTAATAGGGACTAAATTGAACATCATCGGCATAAAAACATTACAGGATACGCTACTGTAAACACAAATGCCAGTATAACTTTATAACATTATAATATAATATGCTAAGTTATATAAAGAGCAATACAAATAAAAATATCACTAGTAAGACTACTTAAGAGCGGTCGCAATTTTAACAGCTCCACGACCTTTTGAATATATATTTGTTTCAGATTTTACTTTGAAACTTAATTTACAATGGTATCTGTAAGACAGGGCCCAACTGTTTGAAGGCCGATTAGCCCTAACCCAGGGTTAAATTTTATCCCTGGTTTCTTTTTCTTTTGTTAATTTTCCCTATTCCTTTACAGCATCCAATCATCAAATTGTAGACAAACAGAATAAGGCTGAATTTACTTTTTAAGCCTTTATATCTGAATTAAAATTTCACACTAACCCTAGGTTATCTTAACCATGCTTTGAACTAGACAAGATTAACAGTTTTGCTATCTTAATTTATCCCTTTGTACTACGTTTCCTTCACTATGAAACCTGCAGGCTTTGGACATTTTTTCAGTACAGTGTAAATCAATATAGCTTGTGATTCTGACCTGGCCTTGACTAGCTTAGCAACTTGTGAGTTAGTGAATACAGACTGCAAGTGTATCATCGCATATCAGATCATAAACAAACTTGAAACCCAAAAATTAAAATAAATGAATGAGATACTACATGTATTCTGCTTAGCTGAAAATTGGTTATTCCGAACTGAATAACTTTATTTTAAGTTATGTACTTTATTAGAGCCATGAACTGAAGCTTCTATTTGTTTATAAGAAAAAACACACACACACTTAGAAGGAAGGGAGAACAGTAACAAGGACTGTCAGGAATTCAACAATCAATACATTAAAAACCCACGACTAAGAACCTACATTTTCTCAAGTTAGCCTAAACAGGTTCTTCCATAAATGGTAATTAGCACAGATTCCGCAGGCTAACCAGGTTCTTAAATGGGTTCCTATTTTTCTGACGAAAAAAATAATTTGTAGCTAAGAGCATTGAGTAGTACTCAGCTTATTCCTTACAAAAAACCGTACATACTATGTCTCTAAAGAGAATCCTGAATATTGACTTATCTTATTTGCCCAATTACTACTACTACTGCTGCTGCTGCCACTACTGCTGCTGCCACTACTGCTGCTGCTACTGCTACTGCTGCTGCTGCTGCTGCTGCTGCTACTACTACTACTACTACTACTGCTGCTGCTGCTGCTACTACTGATGCTGCTACTGCTACTGCTGCTGCTGCTGCCAATACTACTACTGCTGCTGCTGCTACTACTACTACTGCTTCTGCTACTGCTGCTGCTACTGCTACTACTACTGCTTCTGCTACTGCTGCTGCTACTGCTACTACTACTGCTTCTGCTTCTGCTGCTGCTACTGCTACTACTACTGCTTCTGCTACTGCTGCTGCTACTACTACTACTACTGCTGCTGCTGCTGCTGCTACTACTACTACTACTACTAAAATACATATTTTAAGAGGAGGCCTCCATCACTAAGAGTGGTTTCCAGGACGGTCCTCTATTAAAATGAAAATACTAAAACTAAAATAACATTTAAAATCCTATAATGACCTATTAAAAGTGAGTAGCGTGAAAATTAAGAACTTCGTACAGAATATTTTTTTTTATAGAATTTATAAAATGCGAACCTGTTTCAAATTTTAGGCTAAACAGGTTCTTGTACAGAGGGGGCCTAACTGGTAAATTTTTAGCCTAACACATTCGTTAAATCTAGGTTCTTAGTCGCGGGTTTTTACTGTATCTAGTGTCAGCGGTTCAAGTGTTTAGTGAATGATGTGTACTTACAGATGTGTAATGTAGTATAAGACTTCCCATGATTCAGCTGGTTTTCCATCTTTGCTAATAAAGTGATAATTAACCTTGGAAAGAAAGGAAGAATGATCGGCATACACTCTGTGCGTATTTAACACTAACCATCAGCTTTATGACCTCCACAGAAAGGAAAAGGACACTAACCATTTTTGCTGAAAATAAATGTTCACATCAAATTTTTACCTACAGTGTACACATGACTTTATTCTTGTTCAATATTAATTGCTATTTCTGTAAATTTATCATCATGTTTTTGATTATACCTTCTTCTTTTATATCAATACTTGCATCAATGTTTTCGTTTAGAAGTTTAAGACCGAATCTATCAGGAAATTGAGTAATTTCAATTCTCAGTGGACAAAAACCTTGTACCAGAATAATTTAAAAAATATCACATTCTTTTTTACATATTTGAAGGGCTACAGATATAACTAGTTATTTGTAATGACACCAAAGACTATTTCTCATGGGAGCTCGAGAAAATAAATGCCAAATTTCACAAGAATTGTGAAAACACAGGTAAAATTCTGAAAATTTCATGTGTAAGATGTCATTTTGTGAAATTTAACATCTGTTTTCTTGGGCTCCCATAAGAAATTTTCTTTGGTGTCATTACAGATAACTAATTACATCTATAGCCCTTGAAAAATATAAAAAGGAATGCGACATTGTTTAAATTATTATGGTACAAGGTTATTGTCCACTCAAAATTAGAATTGCTCAATTTCCTGATGGATTCCATCTTAATATTATTCCACAAGTCAACAAACCATTATTTATCAATCTATCACTAGTATAAGTCGGATCCTTGAAACACTTTCTACATCAAGCTGATGCACATGTAACGACAAGACAATCAATAGGAGAGAACTTACTGCCTGAAACATCAGATCAAGAGCCTTTAATAAGATTAGAACAAACATCATGTAGTGAACTTTGTACGTAAATTCCCTAAGAAAGTAAAAAACAGTCCAACAAAATAAATGTTATAAAGGTGAGAACACTATGTTTAAGGTATTAGTACACACTATTACTCTTATTGGTATTTCTGTCACAATCTGGATTATTGAGACAAAAAGCGTTGCACGCCAACAGGAAAAAAAAAATCACATGAAAATTGACGTGTACTGCTATTTGAGTGATCACTAGCTTTTGTCAGCATTCACCAATGGGTAAATACAAAATAGGTAATTAACATAACTGACAAATCACAACATAATATGCTTCACATTTAATGTAATAATTTATGTTAAGCACCAATAGCCTTGTTTGTTTTAAGTCACCATGTAACAACTCACAATATGTGAAAATAGGTACCTATTTTTCCTGAGTATTTGGAGCCAGAAAATTGCAGTCCCAAAGAATAGAGCTGACAGCACACCAAACATATAAGGTAGTGGTTCCTAAAGGATAACAAAAATGGGTTAAGAGAAAATATCTATTAAATCAATTTATGGAAGCTGGCTCTTTTTTGGTTTTGGTATCTAAATACAAACGCCTTTTATTTGCCACAAATTTTCTGCAAGGACAACACCCTGCAACACTTTGGCCATACACTCAGGGTCAGTTGATGTTTAATGACATCACTTCTGTCATGCTTAAACTGAATTTTACATACTTTTCACATCTGTAGAATAATTTTAGGTAATAGCATGATTTATAGTGATATTTGGCATAAATACCACGAGTGATATTTCGAAACTGTTATACGTAATTTAACTCGCCTAACGGCTCGTGAAATTTGAGACAATTTTGAAATACCACAAGTGGTATTTATGCCAAATATCACTAAAAAACATGCTATTATTTGTTTATACTACTACCCACACAGGTTTGTAATTCTCACATGTAGGTATTTCAAATTATTCTGAAATACCACTGCCCTAGGCCAATCAAATTGAAGAAATCATTCATGTAGTAGTATAAGTATAGGTAATAGCATGATTTGTAGTGATATTTGGCATACATACCAAGAGTGATATTTCAAAATTGTTATACGTAATTTCACGAGCCGTTAGGCAAGTGAATTTTGAGACAATTTTGAAATATCACCAGTAGTATTTATGCCAAATATCATTCAAATCATGCTATTATTTTTTTATACTACTACCCGCAAAAGTTTTGTAATTTCACTTGTAGGTATTTCAGATTAAGCTGAAATACCACTGCTCTATAAGCCAATCAAATTGCAGAAATTTCGCCTGTAGTAGTATAAACCCGGGAAGACCAGAACTTCTTTAAACACAAACACTTAAAACCTTGTGATGAAGCAAAAAAAACTCTCATTTCAAGGCATTCAACAGGAAAAATCTGATTGCAATAAGAAATAAGCTCTTAATGCTCCGATGTCTGAAAATAGGTCCAGAGGCTACGCTGCAAAAAAGTCTTACCTCACCAGCCGACAAGAAGTTCTTTCCATTTTTTTCTTCAATGTATATCTGTAAATACAATGGACCACACTAACTTGTAACATTACATTGAGCAGATTGGTCTCACCTTCCAAATTACTGAAGAAGAAGGAGCACCAACTAAATTTCTGCCTTTCAAGCATTTTTTTTTAAAATAAAACTTCGACTTTCACATGCACTGTGGCACTTGTAAATTTTGTGACACAAAGTGCAAGTGCTAATTACTTTCTCTAATAATGATGAACATATTAGTCCTTTGCTTGCTCACCTTAAGCTTCGAAAACTTTAGGATCACATCAAGCTTCAAACAGTTTCAGGGACACCCTATGACTGTTTTCTGAAAATATCTGTTCAGAAAAGCAAATAATGCCTAGAATTTTCTTTTGCTTGAGGACGGCTAAAGATTTCTAGATGAGCGTTCCATTCATGTACAATTTTCAAAGCGGTATCTAATAAATTCCCTACAATTTTCTGAAGTTCATTTTTTAATATTTTTCCACCCCGGTTACACTATTTTTTTAGAAAAAGGAAATCTAAAATTTTCGGATCCTAAAATGTGATGGAGAGAGGAATCAAAAAAATTCTCACTTTCGTAAAACGTTTAATTCCCCTAGGTTGATCGAAGAGATGAAAATTTTGTAGCACCACTTAGAGTACTCTGAATAGCCTAAAAAGTGTTTATTGTATTTTGGAGGAAACCATCGTTGGGTGCCCCTGCTGTTTATTTTATGTACAAAACCATTTTATACTATAGATCATTTTTATAGTAGACCCTTAATTTTTTTTTGGTAAAAACTTCTTGTTAACACAACGTTAATTTTCCCAAAGATTCAAACAACAGACAACAACAATGAACAAATTTTGTTGAAACTCAACAATTTTATAGTATAGACCTTTAATTTTTTTTGGTAAAAACTTCTTGTTGACACAACGTTAATGTGAAAATTGTACTTGTAATATTATGATAATAAATGTCTTGTCTTGTCTTGTCTAATGTTCCCAAAGATTCAAACAACAGACAACAACAATGAACAAATTTTGTTGACACTCAACAATTTTATCATACAGACCTTTAATTTTCTTTGGTAAAAACGTCTTGTTAACACAACGTTAATGTTCCCAAAGACTCAAACAACAGACAACGACAATGACCAAATTTTGTTGAAACTCTACTATATAGAGGATATAACACGGTGGCGTGAAGATATGAATTTTATTTTCGAGTGGCAAAACAATATTTTACTACGAGAAAATAAAATTCATATCTTCAAGCCGCCGTGTAATGTTCTTCTTATTATATAGACAAAAAGGCATCGATAAAATAATAGATTTTTATTCGCCAAAAAGTAATTGTCATGGCTCAAATTTACAGTACAGGAGTATTAGACATTGTTTAGAACAATCTTGAGAAATAACACTGAGCTGAATATAGGGCTCTACAATGACAAAATATTAGCAAAGCTTTGAAAAATGTGTAATTAAAATTCAAAGGACGCAAGACACCTACAAATTTTGGAGGGAAGTTAACGAAATTATATCATCGATAAATTCACGAGTAAGATTATGGAAAATAAACCACTTGGGTCCCAGATGTAGTTTTTATGAATTTTACGAGTGGTATATTTTCCAGAAATATAAATAATAATTATTTTCCCACCTAAGAAATAATCAAGGTGGGTAGGGGAGAGAGACATATTTACATTACAAGGATCTAGTAGATGGAACAAAAAGCAATGAAGACACTGTACAAAACAACAAATAGAATAAAATAACATAAAGCAAGGTAAGTAAATAACAAGGCAAAACTAAGATTGTGTATAATACATGGTTCTTGAACATAATCATATTCTGACAATTCTCATAAAAAAAGCAGAAATGTATGAGTCCTAGAGAACAGAAAAAGATTGATGATGCTACAATTTCCCCAACCATAGAAACCATAAGTTAAAGGGACAATTAGTGAACAATATTTGTATACTGAAAATACAACATGATATGGCACAAAGTGTCAATAATTCCAATTGATGATCAAGGGGCCATAATGGGAAACCAAAAGGTCTATGGGATAAAAAGATGGACTCCCATTCTGCGCGAAAAAAAAAAAAAAACTCAAAAAAGGGTCAAAGCAAAACTTACCCCTTTTACACGCTGCTCTTGCCAATGTTTAATTGATGCCTTATCAAGTATTTTTTCTGGGAAATAAAATTTATTTTCTCCAGTACAGAAATGTAGGTGGTCTGGATGGGAGTGATTAGTGATTTGCTAATCACATATACAAGGACATATGGGATTCCAGACAGCTGAGATGTTTTAATAAAACATTATCTAATATAACAGTACCATAAGGAGACTGACATCATCACCTGTATTGCCACTGGAACCCTTGCCTTGTTGGAGAGAGGACAGTTGTGAAAGTAAAGGTTGTACAATCCTTCCTCAGCTTTACTCTTTATCTGCACCACAAACTACATGAAAAAACAACAACAACAATAGACCAATTACAATAAATTAAAATTTCAATGTGACTTAGGAGAATAAAACAAAGTAAATCACCCTGAGGCTCAGGGATGACTAACACATAGTTGACATCACCGTGAGTATCGCTATTCTTTTTACCCATCTTGGCAAAAAACATGTTTTGAAGCTAGTCAAGCCGTTTTCTGGTCACTGTCAATGTTCCAATCTCTTTTAGGCCTAGCCAATAGCACCCACTTATGTGTGCAACTTTTCTTGCAACAGGTCTGAGGCTGTTCCCACGGAAATTCCACCCAGAAGGCACCCACTGTAGTGAGCCTCATTGAATGAAGGCTAAGTTCACCGTATTAGTGTTAAAGGACTGAGTCACCTGCAGTATATAAGGTTTGGGCAGATGGGGCTCTTTATCCTTGGACGGAATACCATCTAGAAGAAGGAAAACTCCAAACCCAAATCAGGCATGTGAGAAGGACACAGCCACGCTCATATTGATAATGCCCAATGCCCATCACACGCCAGCTAAAAAGAAATCCTTTTTCAGCCCATACTGGATTGGTCATCACCTAGATCAACAAGGACCACACCTTCTGCTGTGCACCAGGGCAGAGCTGGGAAGTATGCGACTTGTGTAACAACTAGCAAGATACGTGCCAGAAATAACATCGTTATTGGCACCTTATGCTTATTAGAAATAGCTAAGCATCTAATACAAAGACCACATCACCAACAGGCAAGCCATCATGCCCTATGATGACATCTTAATGAAGGTCATATAAAGAAACCCAAGTTCAAGTGATTTGGGCATGTCTTTCATTCAGCCATGCATTCCAAGAAAAGTGCAAGGAAGGAGAAGAATAGGAAGATAAAAGAAGCACTGGAGAAAAAACATGTCTGATTTATCAGGTTTGAGGTTTTGTGATGCCATAAGACAGTCTAAAAACAAAGTCAAATGGAGGGAAAGGTGCACCAGCAGTCATCATGACTACAGGATACTAAGGTGCAGACTGTGCAGATGCAGGTGTAATAATAATAATAAACTCTATTCAACTGTCGTGTAACTTTAGCATAGTGTTGCTAATTGGGGACACCATAACATAAATAACAAAAAATACAATATAAAATATACTCTTAGATGTGTGTGAATTAAAAAAAAATAATAATAATAATAATAAAAACTACTATACACTTACTATAAGTAATAGAAATATAGAGTTATGTGTATATGTACAATGTTAAAAATTGTAGGATTTTAGTTTAAGAAAAACATAGAAAACAGCCAGTTGGACATTACTCGAGCAAAAAACTTTCCAGGTCCAATTTCTTAATTTGTCTTTTAAAACTGTTCAAGTCACAATGTGTCCGTACATTTCCCGGTAATTTGCATCATAAATAAGGCCCTAGATATCTGACAGAATGTTTTCTATAGGTTACAGTATTACATCTCAGAACTACAAAGTCTGAAATACGTAAATTATAATTAGTTTCCATTATTTGGAATAATTCAGAGATGTCCATTTTTGACGTTGAACATTAGCACCATCAGGTCTTCAGTGTTCCAGCCGGAGTGTGCCATTGTGTGAATCCTGCAAAAGATCAAGAGATGGCCCTCAACAAAAGCATTCACCATTATGGCCCTTTCCTTTTTTAATTCCCAGGGCTGCGCCTCTTGTGCATTCTTTGCTTTTGACGCTAGAAACATTGCCTGGAATTTGCCTTTGTTTGCCAGCAGGAAATTATTTTTATACCAGTCGGATACAATCTTAGCCTTGTTGTTCAACAGAGTAGCAACGTTTTCGATCAGCTGGTGAGAGGCACATATTTGATGGTTGTCTGCATACATAGAAATATCACAGTTCTTAATACTATAACTTAAGTCATTCTGAAACACGTTCCACAGCAATGGTCCAAAACATGACCCTTGGGGGCAGCCTTTTCTTATGTCATGCCGAGAGCTGTTAACTGTAGCAAGCTTAACCCTTCCTTGCTGGTCTTAAACATAAGATCTTAAGAGACATGATGACTCGTTACAGAAATTATAGGCTTGTAGTTTCTTGACCATGAGCAACAGAAGGAGAGAGTCAAATGCTTTGCTAGTATCAGAAGAGATAATCCCCAGAACTTTCCTTTGTCAATGGCCAGTCTCCAATCCAATCTTCTACAAGTTTTATTAAGGCCATCTGACAGCTGTGATGCTTTCTGTGGGCTGACATATTTTGGGAAAGATGTAAATCCACTTTGGTTACTACTTGCTTGCCTTGCAGCTGTTCAAAGACTTTGTTTACAGCATTTTACACTGTCATGGGTCTAGTTCTTCTTCTCCATTTTTTCATCTTTCTTAAAAACAGGTACCCAATCCCCTCTCTTCCATCTCTAGGGATAATACCTAGATGTTATTGATAGATTAAAGATTTTTGTCAGTAAGGGTGCAAGTTCCCTTGCGGCTAGCTTCAAAATTCTTGGCGGTATTAAGTCGGGACCAGTGGACTTTGAAGGATTAAGGCCACATAAGGCTTTAGCAGTTTCGCGATAAGAGATCTCTGTAAATGTGAACATATCAGTAGAAGGCCAGTTGTTTTCAATATTTGTGACACTTGGATGGGTTGTAAAATCGTCCTCTGTTAAAGATAAGCTGGATTTACCACCCATATCGATCATTAGCCAAGGTAGAAAAATAACCAGCAAATTCTTCCGCAACTACATTTTGGTCTTTGGCCACAGTTCCAATGTCACATGCAGTAACAAACAATCATAACCAGAGGATCCATTTCCCTTCGCCAGAGGAGGTCTGAAAGTTTTGAAGAATTCCTGTGTTTAGATTAAAGTTCAATTCCTCAGATTTTACTTTAAGAAATTTATTAATAGCAATGCGTCGTTGTTTTGTAGCTGCATTTCTGGTCTTCCTTTTCATTTCCCAGTTCCCCTCTATTCTGTTGTTTGCATGTGCTTTTGCTGCCTTTCTCTTGTCCCTGATTGCTTTCTTCCAGTTCTTGGTCACGTAAGGGACATCTTGAGTTCCCACATGCTTCTTCTTTACTGGGATGTGTTCGTCAATAACGTAGTTGAGAAGACTGTGCCAATAATCACACTTCTCTTCAAGAGATTCAAATATGTCCATAAAATGCCATGCTGCAGTAACTGGGTCGTTCCCAAAGCCTTCTTCATCCAGTTTCACATAATTTCTGCACGAGAGAATTTTAGAGGGGTAATTCTTGACCATATTATTCATAATACCATATATCATGGTATGATCACTTAATCCATGATTGATTATACCACTTGATCTAAAATACTCCGGATTGCTTGTCAGCAGAACATCAATCAGTGTTTGTGAGGTTGGTGTAACCCAAGTGGGTTTGTCCATAAGACATTTCAAATTATATGTACCTCCTCTAGATCCAATGATAGTTTCCCTTCTCTCTTGTCCACATATGTTCTAGCTGTCCAAATTTAGGTCACCTACAACTATCACATCTTACTTTAGCATGGTCGACCACATGAGACGATTTAATTCACCTTCAAGCCTCAGAAAATAATCGCCAACTGATGATTTTGGTGGCCTATAAATTCCCAGGATTATTGATTCCCTACCGGCAACATTTATTTTTATCACAAGAGCCTCAATGGTCTTGTACTCTCTTGGAAGCTTTATCTTCTTTGAAGTCAATGAAAGTGTAATATACACCAGGATGCCACAGCCACCCTTTTTATGTTTTTTACGAACTAGTCGATACCCTTCAAAGTTGAATAAGTCATTGGAATTCGAGCTGTGAATCTTTGTTTCAGAGATGAATATTACTTGAGCTATCAGGAAAGAGTTTAAGTCTCTCAGTTCTTCCACTTTATTTCGGATGCTCAGGGCTTCTGATATTTCGCGCGGTCGCGGACCCGCGAAATCCCGCGAAATTCCCCAAAAAACGCGAAATACCGCGAAATCCGCAAGAAATATTTCCAAATACATGTCGGCAAAACATATTTAATACTTATCTTGGCTATTAGACCTTTTCTATTCATCCCAAATGTCCAAATCTATCTTGAAACTTCGTCACTGCAACGAGTAAACAACGTCCCAAAACTAACAGGCGTTCTTAGATGAACTTTGCGAAAAACTGGGCACTAACCACAATGTAAACAACTTTAGCATTCGTTCATTTCTCGAGCAAACTGTTGTTGAAGGAGCAAATGATTATCCCTGTTAAAAAAACGTTAAACAACGCTGGTCATATCGACGCAAAATTGATCGTTTTTAGCGAAATTTGCCAAAAAACCCCAGCGAAATCGGCTGTTTTTTACTGATTGTTTCTTGGCGAAGTTTCCCCGTGAAATCGGCCGATTTTTCTATGAATTTGCCCCTGAAAATCCTTCGAAATTTGACTTTTTCCGCTAAAATGCCGCGAAATCGGTCGATTTTCCTGCGAATTTTGACTTTTCTCCCGCGAAATCGGCGGATTTTGCCGCGAATTTTGAGTTTTTCCCGCGAAAATCCGACGAAATCGGCCAATTTTTCCGCAAGTTTTGACTTTTTTCCCGCGAAAATCCCGCGAAATCGGCCGATTTTTCCGCGAATTTGCCCCCGAAAATCCCGCGAAATTTGGTGTTTTTTTCCGCGAAATATCAGAAGCCCTGGATGCTATTGATGTTTACAGGGTAAGTGCTTAATCAGCATATTTCTGGAGTCTTGTTTTCTCTGAGCAAACAAATCAAGATTGGAACAATACAGGTTTGCATAATTTTCCATGCTTGTTGACTCATCTTGGTCATTTGCATTTTCAACTTGACTTTCATTTTTCTCTTCAAAGAAAGAGTCAGAGAAATTAAAAACTCCTTGGATTGACTCTTTTCAATTTGAGGAGTTCCAGTCCCTGATATCACCAGATTGAAATTATTCGTTTATAATTCACGACACACAGGCCACTGCATTTGGTGTGAAACCTTGACTTGCAAGTAGTGCATGTTGTGCTTTGATGATTTTGAGCGATGGTTCTTTCAAACATGTCAAACATTTTATTATCTATTTTATCAAACATTTTTCCACATTGAGGGTGAATATCACTGCTACGAATGATTTGTAGTAGCTTTGGATTGAAGGTAGCCAAACTATTGGAGTAGTATGATATTCTTCACCGAAGGAATGCTTTCCTGGTCAAAACCGCAGTAGAACTTGAAAACACATGTGGCTGTTATTGTGATATCAGCTGTTAAATTGCTTGGAGCAACGTAAGATGATTTAAAAACTTCTCTTTGAGTGATTGTATCATCCCAGAGTATTAATTTTTGCTTCCATTTAGATTAGTAGAGGTTAGGAAATAAAAGTGCACTAGGGCAATAGCAACGGAGCTAAAATTTTTGTGGCCATTCCGTCCCATCATATCACCAGACACCTGGTGTCTGGTTATTAAGAGCTAAAACATACTAAAGAACCATTTACAGGTCCTGCACTATGCAGCCTTCTATTCCAGATGCAAAATATCAGCTTCAGAAGTTCAGACATGCACAGAAAGCTAAATTTTTAGAGAGTATTTTGGGTTTAAAAGTCTGGACTTTTCTGCAATCTTTGTCTGCTTCAATCTCTTGCCCTTTTTCTTTTCTTTGGCAGGGCATTTACCAGGCTTCATTTCAGAGGGAAAGAATTTTTGGTAAAGCATTAAGGATTGTAGGAGTAGATGGAAGGAAGTGAAGCTGTCTAGTGGAAAAAGATTTTCATTACAGTTTTCAGGTGAACTTTACATGGTTGTTTCCGTCCTTGACTGAATCATGCTCATGCTGGATGGGTATGGTTTGAAAGATCTCTTCCTCCTGCACAATTTAGTACATGAAAAAAATGTCCTTGACTGTTAAAACTGATGATGTCACAAGTGATACAAGGGATGTGGATAATAACAAGAATGACAGAAATAAAAACAGTTCTATTGAAATTCTATTTAACTGTCTTAACTTTAAGGGAATAGGACATTTAACCCCTATTTGTTGGTTATTAAAATAATGACTGGGGTGAATATAGTTCAATAACATACTTAATATTAAAAGAAAATAATAACAAATATAGTGAAATTTGAATATACACTGTAGCACCAAAATCCAAAATTAAAATGGCACTTTGCAAAATAGATTTAAAAATAAATGTAAGAAAAAAACAAAGTAATATACTATCACAATAAATAAGGCTAAAATAGCTTTTATAAAAAATTAATAAAGTTGTGTAAAAACATAAACTTAAAAGAGTCTAGTTATTTGCTTGTCTGGTATCTCTGGTAGAGTAAAGAGAGTTCTGAAGCATGGGGCAGCAACAGAAAAGGCTCATCATCTACAAGTCTTTAATTCATGCAATATATCTTAGGATAGTCAATGACATTGTTGACTTAGATCATAAAAATTTTACTAGGTTGTAAATTTTGAGAAGGTCTAGTAAATAGGGAGGTTCTACTTACATTACCAGAATATGTCTTCTCTGATTTATACAAGGGCAAACTTTGAACTGGACCTTTCACTAGAGTTGCCCTAGTTGTTTCTGCTTCTCTCCTTTTTCGGGTAATGTTTCCACCTTCACTGGGAGTAAACTGTTTACTATGGTCAGCTGAATTTCTTGAAGGAGAAGTAACTGTACTGTTGGATGGTGGTGAAGGGCTTGTCAAAGTGCTCACTGACATTGATACAGCAGAAGACATCTTCTGGCTTTTGTTGGTTACAGCTGATAACATAGAGCTTGTAGGAGTTCTAATAGCTGTTTGTGACCCATTCTTAATATGGGTACCAGATGAGACTGGTGAAGATGTCGCAGTTGCCACTGTTGTATACAATCTACCCATGTCCTTGATACTCAAGTCTAAGAAATCACTGCCATACTTGTCAATTTCAATACTAAAAGTAAAAAAGGGTTAAATACACATATTAAAGCACATGTAATAAATCTCTACTTCCCTAGAAATGTTAATAAAATATCTTATGTTAATAAAATATCTTATATAAAATATAATTTACCCACCTCCAGAAAAGAAAAGAGAGGCCATTTGATACAAAAAAATAATAACAAGAACGCTCTTAGGAGCGTTGAGTCTCGCTTGCTTGGAGATGAGTTTTGTTGTCAAAGGCCCCGGTGCCGTTAAACTACTTTTCGTTTGGAATACAAAACGAGTGTTGCATGTCATAATGTATATACTCAAAAAGTAAAAATTGCAAGGAGAGACAGGCCGCACATCTTAGCCTCAAACCGGTGTGAAACCTTTGAAAAACTTCTACATATTGATATTGCTCCATTGAGGAGTACTCTTTCAGGGATTCCACACTCACAAAATTGAACGATGATTTTTATCGGTATCAGGGGCCCATGACTCTGTCAGTATAAATATACATAGCTTCTTTGTACCGAACCAAGATACGGCTCGGTACAGCATATGTTCATCACAGGAAAAAAGTGTAAGTTGAACAGAACCTTATACAACATATAGTTAATTCAGTTCGCACCTATTCCTGTTGAATTAGTTGTCGGTTTTCTAAGATATCAATATCGCATAAAAGTAATGACATTTTCCATAGCTGCTTAGTATCTACTTTTAATATCTCTGTACAGTCTCAGAGTACAATGTTTAGAGTTGTACACAGCATGCATTTTAGATAGATAGACGGACGGACGGACGGACGGATGGACGGACGGACGGACGGACGGACAGATAGATAGATAGATAGATAGGTAGGTAGGTAGATAGGTAGATAGATAGATAAATAGATAGATAGGTAGGTAGGTAGGTAGGTGGGTAGGTAAGAACCTTAGTTTATGGCACGATAAAAAGATCAGCATTGCTGGTGGGGTCATGCATACAACAATTACAAGAAAAATAAGGAGTACTGAAAGCAAATGTACACTGAAAAATTAAAAACTGTTAAAAGTTTTTTCTTGTATTACAGTATCACCAGGATAAAGCGTTTCATTTTCTCGTCAAAACAATCACTGACTCAGACAGACTCGGATTAGTTTACTTGAATTTAGCGTTTAGTACAGCAAACGGGGTTATGTTCTGTGAAATTTATCTACAGCCTGCGGCCCACATCATCACTGATCCACGATTTATTTATTTATTTTATTTTCAAGTTCTTTTTAACCGATCCTTGATCCCTGATTTCTCGATCCTCAATCCTCGATCCTGATTTTCCAGTAAACCTTGAAGTTTTGCTCATTAAGATTATTCTTTTTTTTCGACCACTCAAGTGATCAGTAAGTTGTTCCAAAATAATCAACGCTTTCAAGCCATAGAATTCTTGGACCAACCCTTTCCGGAAAAGCTCGATATGGGATTTCTATTCTATGGACATGAAGTGTTGCAAGTAGAGTGTGCGGTTAGTCAAGTTCAAAGCTACCCGTATAAACACATCAGTGACACGTTAGGGTGGATTTCCACTGATGCGTTTTTGGCTCCGCACGTTAACGCACGTAAATTTTAATCACGTAAATCAAATAGAGGTAAGACATAAAGTATTGAGATTAAACGTCAAATTAAGTGAGTTTCTACTTTTGCGCTTGCATAATTGTATGTGCAGCCTTTCATACATTGCCTTTATTTTATTTGCGAATGCAAATTTTAAGCACGTGCGGACGTAAAAATTACGTGTCAGTGGATACTTCATATCTCAAGTATTTTTTGAAGTGCAACACGACTTCACATCGTAACAAATGCGAAAATCTATCAAATAAATACATAAAACAAAGTGAATCTATTTAACCGTACATTTCCTGTAATTGCGACAATATTCTGAGAAACGTAACGCCTTAAAAGCCACAAAATCCTGAGGATTTCCCCGCTATAATATTTTCTCATCCTGCTTGGGGATGTGCCTGCATGTCGTGCATAATTACACGAAAATCTAGGGCCTCCATTAGAGGAAAATTACGTCATTGCCAAACTTACATGCGTCATTTCAGTCATCACCGAAATAAACTGCATTCTCATCACGAGACTCATTTCCATACAATGAAAGTCGTCACAATTCTTATCCCCAGTTTCCACGGTCTTCGCTAAGAACGCGTGGCCTACAAACTAGGTCCGACGAAAAAAGAAAACCGACTGCATTTTAAGAGTCTCGCTCTGCTCAAGCAAGCGAGACTAATAAGTCTAAAATAAATTAAAAGCATTGGACTTTAGAATCAGAGAAACTGTTTGGTTCAATACATACAATACATACATACACCTTTATAGGACTCTTTTAACACAGTCATGGTTATTTTGTCCCATTGCAGAAATACAAATATAACTTTAGCATGGGTTAAACAAAACATAGATAATAATAGTGCCAAGTTTAAGGACAATGTAAAGAAAGTATCAGAAAAATGTGGATATTTAACAAAGGCTTGCATTGAGGTACCTTTCAATAAAAAATAAACCTAAATTTATTTTACATGCTAGGCCAATAAACTTACTGTGACTGATCTGTCAGAACAAACTTGATAATTGCCAAAGATATTTGGTTGCCATTAGAACGTACTTGAGACTGATCCTTAAGAATACATCTCTCACTGTGCTGTTCCTAAGATAATTAAAAATCAGACCTCAGAAATATTATATGCATAATGAATGTCTAGCAGGAGTTACAATATTTGTACAATATACTAATAATAATTAGTATAACATGTACAACTGATGGTGACTGTTCTCATATACTAATTATTATTATTATACATTCAAAATATTTCCGCGACTGATTGGCTAAAAGCACACGCATAATTCACCATAACCAGTTACTGATGACCAAATTTGGAAGAATTTTGTGTTTAACGAGGAAATGACGTAAAAAGTGCAGCGTTCTTGCAGGTTAAGGCACTTTTAACCGAGAAGATCTGTGGACGAGGTTGAGTTGTTTTGGTTGTGAAAACAAAAAATGTCGGACATTTCACTCTTTTGAAGAGTAAGAACTAGGGAAAATTATAGCAAAAACATGGGGAGAACAGCAAGAACACAACTTGAAGGGCGACATCTGCTATTTGGCGAACATTTGTGGAGCTGAAAAACCCTAAACGTGCACTATTGAAGGTGAACTTAACATCAATGGAGGTAAGCAGGTTTTAGCTTTGTTTTGAAACTAGGAATTATTTTGAATGAATAATAAATCAATCATTGAATTCGGCTTTCATATCATATGAAGAATAATGGAGATCTCAGAGTATGTTATCCACCTCGGCCTACGGCCTCGAAGGATAACACCCTCCTCGATCTCCATAATTCTTCATAAGATATTCAGCCTCATTTATTAAATTATTGTTCAGTATATGAGAACAGTCACCACCAGTGGTACATGTTACAGGTCAAATTATATTCAGGTTAAAATTATTTAACCTAGGTTGACTCTCTATTGAATTAGGGCAAGGAGACAAAGGAATTTGTGAATCAACCTTGGTTAAATGAAAATTAACCTGAAATCAAATTTGACCTGTAACTGGACGGCGATTAAATAAATGGATTCAACCTAAATAGGGGTGTAGCTAGTTTCCAGAGATATGCTCTCTTAATGGAGTATGGATGCAGTCCCTAGTCTGAATTTCAAAAGAAGTAGTTTTGCCTATTGAAGAGGCAGGAGGCCATGTTGCTGTTGATATTTTACTATTGTATTAATTGTTACTTCCCTCATCACTGTCACAGTTTCAACCCATCTTTGGTTAACGGCCGGCTCGTGCCAGGCCTTTATTGACAGCCCTGGACCAACACTAGCTGCCAATCTGAAGACTGCAGTAACCCACAACCTTAAGTACAAATGGTAAAAACTCAGAACTATAAACATTCTTACCATATAAGGTGATATTCCATCACTTCCTGTCTTCTCCAAAGTAAAGCCAAACTAACAATAAAAAAACCCTTCCTGAGTGATCTCTACTTCACAACTCTCAGTGTGCAAAGAAAGTAATGTCCGATAGCCCGTGGCTAGTGGATTTTGCTATTGGGCTAGTGAATTCTGTTTTTAACTTGCCCGGTGGATAAGTGATTTTTTTTGAGGAATTCAAATAACAGAAGAACTGTGAAAACAATAATTCTGCTAGTCAAAACGTTTTGGGGCTAGTTGAAATGATGTCTGGGCTACTAAATGCTAGCTTCAGCTTGCCCGAATGGCAAGCTGTAAAAATGATTTTCTTTGCACCCTGACTCTATACATGGTTCGTACAACTTCAGACAAACAAATTTCAAGGACTTTTCAAGGATGTTTGAAGGACAAATTACAGTTTTCAAGAACTAAGATTTATTTAATAAATCGACATTCTTTAATCCCCTTTGATCACCCTATTGGCTAAAACACATCATGAAGTCATTTACCATTATTACTTCTTCAGCCATCATTGATTAGTGGTGTAATGATTAATTGAATTCTCGATTAATCACGATTATGACCATTCGGTTCGATTCACGATTCTCTGCTTCCACGTTTTGATTTTGGTTGGATTTTTGGACACCTTCTCCAGGGTGCCCTCAGTGAGTTATTATATTCTAAAATAAGAATCCAGAACTCTTTAATGTGCGTTTTTGATTGACCAGCAAAGACGATAGCAGTTTGTGCACCATTTTGTGTTGCCTGGTAAAAATGCTGTCCTTCAACCTCCCCTTGAGAATTTCCAAATAAGGCATGTGCAACACACTCTTTGTCAGGTTCTCAAACATGGCGATGAACCAAGCAACTGCGAATCCTCCTGTCCCTGTTGTTTAGGGTTGCATGTTGTTTACATTACGCGTTATGTTATAAGAATTAAGAAACATTTACATAATCGAATCGAAATAATCGAAATCAAAAGGCAATAATCGAAATCGAATCGAATCACAAGGAATACGAATCGTTACACCCCTATCACTGATCACATTATTTTCATACTACATGTACTTTCCACTACAAGACGTTACAAAATGACTGGGTATGACTTGCAATTGCATCTGAGGTACAGAAATGGCATTTGAAATAAAGAAACAAAATATTGTTCATGCACAAAAATGTTTTTACAATACCCGTGAGTTTTACAGGTTCTTGCACTGAGGATGAGCTAAATTTTCCTCGGCAAAATAATCTAATTTTACAGAAAAAGGTGTCTGGCATAGACAAGGTTGTGAATTTCAAGTACTTTTCATGACCTAATAAAGAAATCAGCTACTTTTCAAGGACCTAAACCGAATTCAAGGACTTTTCAAGATGACTAGTAAAATTCAAGACCTTTTAAAGATTGTACGAGCCATGTCTATATAGCTGCATGCCCCCTGTCTCAAACAAGCCCCGTTCCCCAACACCAAGAATGAAACCAATAAATATAAATAAATAAATAAATAAATAAGGACAGTAATTAAGTCCAGAGCTGTATGACAACAATAGACTGGAGATGATTAATTGTTTTAAAACAAGAAACCTTTGGATCATGAGGTCCTTGGTAATTAAGACCCAGGGCTCGAAATTGCGACTGATATGGTCGCCAATGCGACTAACATTTTCTCCTTGGCGACTAAAAATTCTGGTTTAGTCGCCAAAGTGGCGACCAGATTTTAGAAGAGTAAAATTAAAGCAAACATTTCATCTTATCTTGCTTTGCTTTCATCATAAAAAATGCGCCAAATCGCAGAAACAAAGCCAGTTTACCTCCAAATTTGCATCTGGCGACTATAATTTTCCGGTTGGTCGCCAAAAGGCGACCTGAAGATTTGTTTAATTTCGAGCCCTGAGACCTATCTTAAATCTCAAAGTTATTTCTAAAATTACCAAGAAAGTTGTGGCTTTACGTCTACAACACTACCTGGAATCATTCTACCAACTTAATGAACCTCTACAATCAGTCTATAAGCAATTTCCATAGCTGCAAAACTGTCCTCACTTGCATTCACAAATTGATAATCGTCACTGTGTTATACTTTTGCTGCTTGACCTGTCTGCAGCTTTTGACACTGTCAACCACAATATCCTACTTAAAAGACTTCACTTTAGGTTCTCAATTTACAGTACTGCTCTTGACTGGTTATGGTTGTACCTTACAAACTGCACACAATTTACCTTAATAGATGGAAAAAATCACAATCTCGCGAGCTCAAATGTGGCATGCCTCAAGGTTCTGTCCTTAAACCCATCCTGTACCTACTTTATACAGCACCACTGGCTGATGTCCTGCGTTATTACAAGATACAACTTCATTTCTTTGCTGATACTCAATAACGCATCTCCTTTTCACCAAGCAATGACCTAGAATCACCCAGTACCACTGCTAAAATCCAGGATTGCTAGTTAGATCTTGATAAGTGCCCAGCTCTTAATAAACTGAACTTCTCTACCTCTATTCTAAATGCATTGTCCTATAGTCTCAACCACCACTTTGATTCAGAAATGATACAATTCATCCATCCCAATCTGCCAAAAACATTGGTGCCATTTTTGACACTCCTATGTCTATGCTTCCTCATGTGAATTAGTATGTATATCAGCCTTCTACTATCTGCATAAAATTTCCTGTATAAGAAAATTCCTATCTTCAAAGACTACTGAGATTCTCGTCCATGCTTTTGCACCCTTCAAGCTTGACTACTGCAACTCTCTTTTGTATAATGTGCTGAAGTATGTTTTGAAAAAGCTTCAATCGGTACAGAATGCTTTTGCGAATATGACCACATCACCCTAGTTCTGTCCAATCTACACTGGCTTCCTGTAAATGAGCGTATTAAATTCAAAATCCTGTGCTCAATTTCAAGGCTCTACACCAACAAGTACCCACCTACATTCAAGATTTGGTAACTTGCTATTCACCGCTCAGAACACTCCGATCATTTAGTACACTACATGTATGCATGAATCCCAGTAACTTTAATCAGAAATCCTATGGGTCTAGAGCCCTGCTGCTGCTGCTCCTGACCTGTGGAACAGTCTACCAGACAACTTCCGTTCATGTGACAATATTTAAGTACTTTTAAATCTAACCTTGACACATACCTTCTTAGGAAAGCACATCTTTGTTAGTATGGCTATTTTTATCTTAATTTTCATTCATTTACTATTTATTGTTTGGAATGTTATGTAAAGGGCCTAGAGCAGGACTGGACAGGCACTATACAAATTTTAACTATTATTAGTTTATTATTAGTAGTAGTAGTAGTAGTAGTAGTAGTATTATCATCATTAACTTTCTTATCCTGGCTTTATACAACTACATATTGGCAAATGCGATTATAGACATAATCGTATAATAGATTAGGACACAAGAGCAAACCCCAAAATAACTATCATTGATGTTTGCAGTTTGGTTTTCTCATGCCTCATTGGCTTTTTCCTTGCAGCACAATAAAATTCCATTAAAAAATCAACACTTGCGGTGTTCAGAGTTTTGTGAGTATCACAGTAAGAGTATAAATAGAACTGACTTTACATTGACATATATTGAAGTTGTGAATATGTGAAAATCATATATGTGAACTGCAGAGTGAAGAATTATATTGCAGCACCGGTATCGCAGAGGTCAAGGGTTCGAATCACGTGCAAGCCTGTTTTTTTTTTTCAGACTTACTTTTTGCAACTGCAAAAGTTGCGATATAACTGCGATGATCTCCATTCATATAATTCAAATAATTATTGTTAATACACAGGCACTTTAATTCGATGATATGTTTTATGACCAGAATATATTACTACTGGCACATGCATTTAACATTTTATCACCAATGAGTTGCTTCCTGAACTGATGGACCTGCAGCCATTTGCTTCTTCATTATACTTACCTGCACTTTATTTGACTGCCTCATGTCTTCTATCGTCAAGTTAGAAAATTTAACAGTGAGGTTCCCCTTTTGAAGAAATCCAAACTTACTCAATTCAATTGTCTGCCTCACTTCATCCTAAAGGGAATACAATTCACAGGCTATAAACTTTGGGGAGGTTATCCGATACATGCAGGTCTTTTGTTTTCTTACCTATGTGATCTGTAAGGGAATCAATGAAGTATATTTGGAACCATTGATATATATCATAAATCTATCAATTAACATGTGTATTATACTTAATAAAATGAAATTATAGCACAGCTAGAATGTTCACTTAACATTCAAAAGCACAAGTGTCCTTCACGTTCCTATTCTGCATGGACTTGGTTGACTAATACATTAATCTCAAAGAATTTGTTTGAAGAATGATTAGCATTGACCCAGCGTTAATTTTTATTGTGGGTTCTTGTTTCTTTAGTTCAAATGTAATCTCCCTGATAATTTTCTCTATTCTTTTTAGCACATCCAATGATCAAATTGTAGACAAAATTAATTCAACTGAATTGGCTTTTTAGGCTTTCATATTTGATTT